TGGGTAAAAACTGGTCAATTGCAAGAACTATTTAAAATTAAGTCCTTTCTAAATTTTTCTCTTATACGTTTAAAGTTATATTTTTTCATTAATGTTAATGTAATTTTTATTTTGCTTATCAAAAGATCTAGATATACTTTTAACCTACCTTATTATAACAAGAACAATGTTATTTTAGCCTAACCCAAACTAAATAGATATTTTAGATTTGTTTACAATAATTTAATACTAAAACAAACACAGTGAAATATTATTTTTCGTTAGGTTCATGATTGTTTTTAGCCAAAAAATTTATTGCATACACAATTTTCACTTGTCCTATATTTGCAAGATGAGCGTTGATTTTAAGCCAAGATTGGCAAGTTCTGCCTATTCGGGCACGACACAACAGACACACACACACACACTCACACAACACAACACACACAAATATATATATATATATTATATTAATATATATTTATATATATTTTTATATATATATATATATATTGATATAATATATATATAATATATTATATATATATATTATATAGTAGTTGGTTGGTAGACAGCAACCATTCCAGGGAGGTACTACGTCATGCCAAGTGAGTGTAAAAACGAAAGCCTGTGATTGTTTTTACATGATGGTAGGATTGCTGGTGTCTTTTGTCTGTCTCATAAATATGCAAGATTACAGGCCATGTCTTGCTACTTCTACTACACTTAGGTCAACAATACACATACATGTAACTTTTATTTTATACACACTCATCTGAGTTTTTTTGATTTTATCCTTAATAGTTCTTGGTATGATTACTTTTTCTTTTATTCCATGGGGGAAGTGGTATAAGAATCTTTCTCCGTATAAGCCATGCGTGTTGTAAATCAACTAAAATGCCGGGAAACAATGGGCTAGTAAGCCTTTTCTTTAAAGATTACTAAAAGTTTAAGAAGAAGAAATATTGTCAAGTGGGGAAAGTCTGAGAATTTGTGCGTGGATGGTTGTGCAGATAGAAAGAGATGATTGTGGATTTTTGAATGAGAAGTAAGAAACTGGAGATTGTCCTGGCTTTAGTGTAAACAATGTGAAGGGGGTGGGAGAGTTTCAGTGGAGTGGAGAGGAAGTAAATGGGATTAGGTCAGGGGTTTCCAAATAGAGTTAGAGCTAATGAAGGAGTAGCAATAATGTTGTAGGATAAGCTTGGCAGGAAAGAGGGTCTTAAATGTATTAATTCAAGGAATTGTGGAGTAAAATAAAGATTAGATGTGAAAAGTGGTTATAATAGAGTGTATGCACCTGGAGAAGATGAGAAGTTATAGAGGAGAGAGTAGAGATTTTGGGAAAATGTTAAGTGATAATTGCGTGGGGAGTTTTGAATCAAGTGTGAGGGTAATGGTGGTTGGGGATCTCAATGGCTAAAGTGGGTAAAAATGTTTATGGAGGGGTAGTAGGTAAAATTTGGGGTGCCAGGGGTGTAAATGTAAATGGGGAGCCTTTAACTTGAGGCTATGTGTTAGAAGAGATTTGGTAATAAGTAAAACATATTTTATGAAAAAAGAGGATAAAATATACAAGTATGATGTAGCACGTAATGAAAAGTAGTTTATTGATTATGTATTTGTGGGATTAAAAGGTTGATGGGGTGTAGGCTCCAGGACTATACTTGTTTATAGAGGCGGCAAACTGGATATATCGGATCATTATTTAGTGTAGCTCAGTTAGAGGTAAAGAGGTAGATTGGGACAAAGGGAGGTAGTGGGCGGTGAAAGTGTATAAAAAACTAAGGGAGTAGGAAAAGTTGGGTTTTAGAGATTAAAGCGGACTATAGGCAGAAAAAGGTGGGCTAGTGCAAAGATGAGTAGGTGGGGGGTTGAAGAGGGTGGAATAGTTTAAAAAATGCAAGTATTAGAATGTGGGCAGAAGTTTTGTGGTTTTATGGAGGCGGGGGGCAGGAGGGAAAGAGGGAGTGATTGGTGGAAATGATGACAGTAGCTAAAGGGTGTGCTTGTGAATAAAAAGAGGAAAAAGGTTGCTTATGAGAGGTTTTTTACAATAGCAGGAGTGTTTATAAGAAGAGCAGAGTATATGGAGAGTAAAGAAAGGTAAAGAGAGTGGTTGAGAGGAGAGTGCAAAAGGAGAGCAGATGATAGAGTGGAGAGGCACTGTCAAGAAAATGTTTATTGAAAATAAGAAAAAATTTTGGATGTGAGTTTATAAAACTAGTAAGATTGCCTAGAGAAGAAAGTATGGATTTGTCAGTTAATTTAAAAAAAAGAGGAGGGAAGTTAGTAGATGGGAGTGGGAGGTGTTTGGGTAGATGGCGACGAATATTTTGAGGAACTTTTAAATGTTAAGGATGAACAAAGAGGCAGAATTTTCATGCTCTGCGTCAGGGAGGTATACCATTTTTAGGAACGTGATGAAGAGCAGAAATTGGTAAGTTGTGGGGGGAGGTACGTGAGGCATTACGTAAAATGAAAGTGGGTTAAGCAGCTGAACTGATGGGATCATGACAGAAATGTTTTAAAAAGCCAGGGGGGGATATAGTTGTTGGAGTGGTTGGTACTTTTGTTTAATGTATGAAGGAGGGGAGGTACCTAGGGATTGGCGGAGAGCCATGTATAGTCCCTTTATATAAAGGGAAAGGGACAAAAGAGACTGTAAAAATTAATAGAGGAATTAAGTTTACTGAGTATCAGGAAAAGTGTACGGTAGGGTTATAATGAATGAATTAGAGGTAAGACAGAATGTAGGATTGCGGATGGAGCAAGGAGGTTTCAGAGTGGGTAGGGGTTGTGTGATCAGGTTTACATTGAAGCATTTATATTGGTGTTCAGTATTTAGATAAAGGTATGGGATGTTTTTATTGATTATGGATTTTGAAAAGGCATATGCATAGAGTGGATCGAGGAGCCCAATGTGGCAGATGTTGCAAGTATATGGAATAGGTGATAAGTTATTAAATGCTGTTAAAGAGTTGTTTATGAGTGATAGTGGGCTCAGGTTAGGGAGTCGTTGAAGAGAGGGAGACTACTTCCGGTAAAAAGTAGGTTTAGACAGGGATGTGTAATGTAACCATGGTTGTTTAATATATTTATAGATGAGGGTTGTAAAGGAAGTATATGCCAGGGTGTAGGGAGAGGGGGAGAGGGGTGGGATTAAAATTTTGGGAATCAATTCAAAATGGGAATTTGACACAGTACTTTTGCTGATGATACTGTGCTTATGGAGATTTAAGAAAAATTGCAAAGGTTAGTGGATTGCCAGTTTGGGATTGTGTGTAAAGGTAGAAAGTTTGAAAGAGAAATAGAAAAGAGTAAGAGTGATGAGAGGTGTCAAATGATTTAGATAAAGAAAAATTGGATATCTAATTGGGAGGAGTTATGGAAGAAGTGAATGTTTTTCAGATACTTGGGAGTTGACGTGGTCGGCGGATGGATTTATGATGGATGAGGTTAATCATAGATGACGAAGGAAAAAAGGTGAGTGGTGCGTTTGAGGTATATGTGGAGTCAAAAAAAACGTTATCTATGGAGGGCAAAGAAGGGAATGTATGGAAAAGTTAGTTGTACCAACACTCTTATAGGGTGTGAAGCTTGGGTGGTAAATGACTACAGCAGCGAGGAGACGGCTTGGATGGCAGTGAGATGTCCTGTTTAAGGGCAATGTGTGGCTGTAAATATTATGCAGAAATTCGGTGTGTGGAAAATTAGGAAAAGGTTGTGGAGTTAATAAAAGTATTATAGTAGAGGGCCAGAAGAGGGTTGTTTTGGGGAGGGGTGGGTTTGGTCATTTAGAGAGAATGGATCAATAGTAGAATGAATGGAATGCATATTAAATCCTATAGGGGAAGGAAGGCGGGGATTAGGGGTTCAGTTCCTCGAAAGGGGTTGGGCGACGAAAGGGGGAAGGCGAGGGGGGGGGGGAGGGGGAGGTAAAGGGAGTTTTGTGGGCAAGGGGCTTGTGACTTCAGGCAAGCGGTGCGTGAGCGTGTTAGGATAGGAGTGAATGAGAGACGAATGGTTACTTGGGACCTGACGGATCTGTGGGAGTGTGAGCTAGGTTAACTATTTAGATGAAGGGATTCAGGGAGTATAGGAAACCGTGTCTATTTTCATATAGTCGGGACTTGAGTCCTGGAAATGGGAAGTACAATGCTTGCACTTTAAAGGAGGGTTTGGGATTTGGTAGTTTGGAAAGGTTATGTTGTGTATCTTTATACGTTTATTGCTTCTAACTGTTGTATTCTTGAAGCACTCTGCAGAAACAGTGATAATGTGCGAGTGTGGTGAAAGTGTTGAATGATGATGAAATTTGTTTCTTTTGGGGATTTTCTTTCTTTTTTTAGGTCACACCCATGTCCTCGGTGGGAAGACGGACCGGGACCTTGTTAGAAATATTATACTTTATATATATCTATATATATATATATGTATATATATTATATATATATATATATATTATATATTATATTATATATATATATATATATATATATATATAATTATATATATATATATAATATATATATTAGCTAATGGTTAAGTATAGGCATTTATTTTTTTATATTTCATTTGTGTAAACCTTTTTTTTAATATGGCTAATTGTTACTGCTTCATTATTTGCTTTACAATCTGCTGTCATGTAAAAAAATTTGTTTGCTTGCATGCATGTTGCCACTTTATTGCACATTGCTTGATAAAATATAACAGTAGAGATAATACACAGTATTTAGTTAATTTTGTTGGATACTTACTTAATATGATTTTTTTAATATCCACTTGTTGAATATCCATAAAAATAAATTTTTTCACTGTAGATTAACTATATCCAAATTTCACTAAAGCTTTGGCATGAATTTATTTTTGCTTTTATTATAACAAAGGCAAAGTTAACTTTAAAATATGCCAAATAAACAGACAGAGAAGAAACTTATATACTGGGATGTTTTTGTGTTTGACGTCTATACGTAGCGTGACGAGGATGTTCTCCAGGCTAAAATTATATTTTCTTGCAGGGACCCATCGGCTTGGATGGTCCTAAAGGAGAACCGGTGAGTTTCCCGCCTCTCTCTTTCTCTCTCTCACACACACACACACATACACACACACATATGCTGCAGCATATGGGCGCCTAGCAAACCTCAGAACAGCATTCCGACATCTTAATAAGGAATCATTCAGGACCCTGTACACCGTGTACGTTAGGCCCATATTGGAGTATGCGGCACCAGTTTGGAACCCACACCTAGCCAAGCACGTGAAGAAACTAGAGAAAGTGCAAAGGTTTGCAACAAGACTAGTCCCAGAGCTAAGAGGTATGTCCTACGAGGAGAGGTTAAGGGAAATCAACCTGACGACACTGGAGGACAGGAGAGATAGGGGGGACATGATAACGACATACAAAAAAACTGAGAGGAATTGACAAGGTGGACAAAGACAGGATGTTCCCGAGATTGGACACAGTAACAAGGGGACACAGTTGGAAGCTGAAGACCAGATGAATCACAGGGATGTTAGGAAGTATTTCTTCAGCCACAGAGTAGTCAGTAAGTGGAATAGTTTGGGAAGCGATGTAGTGGAGGAGGATCCATACATAGCTTTAAGCAGAGGTATGATAAAGCTCACGGCTCAGGGAAAGTGACCTAGTAGCGATCAGTGAAGAGGCGGGGCCAGGAGCTCGGACTCGACCCCCGCAACCTCAACTAGGTGAGTACAATAGGTGAGTACCACACACACACACACACACACACACACACCACACACACACACCACAACACACACACACACACACACACACACACACACACACACACACACACACACAGTCACGGTTTTTTGGGGCTCAAGTTCACATCTTCATAAAGTTAGCATTAAAACTAGAGTAGTTTCCCCTGTTATTAACTGCGGTGTAGAGCCTTCCTGTCTTAAACCTTCTCACCTCTGTCCTTCAGTATAAACAAAATCAATAGTTATTAAATGTGGGTATAAGTTACCGTAGAGTTCATCGGGTTATATTATCAGTTGCCAATGGAGGCAAGAAGACTCGAACAAAAACAAAAATTGCCAACTGTGTTAGGCCATCCTGAGAGATGAGAATGCCCATGTGTTAATTTTATTATGTTAAGTGCTAAACCCATGTGGGTTGTTCAGCGCAATACTTTGGGGAAAGTTTGATCCTCAGTCTGCTGAGTGCTAGAAACACGCGAATGAGGTATTTAGTCTTTGTATTTATTTTTTTCAATTTTGGAAGATGGTGATGCTAGCATTGTCCATTAGAAATTTGTCATTACAGTAGTAGAACTTTAAGGATTACAAAAACCGTCGCTTGGTATAAAATAAAGGTTAGGTTGGACCGAAATGTGTCTTAAATTGTAGGTTAGTTATGTATCGTGTGTGATAAGTGTATGGGCTAAACGTGGGCAGCCTTAGTTTTGAACTCTGTAGTTTCATGTGCATCAGGTTACTACACATTTTTTCCTATATGTATAAAAATCTTGAAAAAAGTCAATCATTTATTTAGTAGTATTTATTTAAACCATACAAATTTGACTCTTATTCCACTGTTTAAATGCTTAATGTTGTTAACGTTATATATGTTAATACCATTCTGCATATAACTTCTTATAATTTATATTATTGTAGTGTCATACAATTCTATAACATATAACTATTTAAGAATGGCAGACTAATTATTTAGAGAGTGAGAGCAGTGACTCATTGTTTCCTGCCCATCGGCAGGGTGAGCAGGGACCCCCAGGACCCTCGGGGGAGAAGGGAGGCAAGGGCGAACCTGGCAGCGGCTACGATATACTTTCCAAAGCTAAGGTAAACTTCATATGCATCGTCTGTGTGTGTGTGTGTGTGTGTGTGGTGTGTGTGTGTGTGTGTGTGTGTGTGTGTGTGTGTGTGTGTAGAGTGTCTGTCTCTCGCGTGTGTGTGTATACTGCATTATATCATTATTTGTTGACATTTTATGCTCAACTTGGAGGTAATTCATCCCAGTTTTCATTTGCAGCTGTAGGAGTAGAGCTATTCTAGTGGTGTCCTGCCTTCACTATTCAGTGTATTGAGTTTAAAACAGTCTAGTAGTTGTATCACTTATTACCCTCTCTTATATCCCATTCTCTTTCTATTATTCGATTTATGAAGAATATTTTAATATTCTTTAGGTACCTCTTCTTCCTCAGTTTGCATCTATGACGTCTTGTTTTGGTTCATACATAGAGTATACCTGGAGGGTGTTCCGGGGGTCAACGACCCCGCAACCCAGTCCATGACCAGGCCTCCAACGATGTTAGAAATTTGCTGTTATGATCCTATAAGTGATGATCATGACAACTCTTTACCTCTTATCAGCCAGTGAAACTATACCTAATGTATTCAGTCTCCTTTTTATATACAGTGTAACCTTGGTTTTCATTTGCTCTGGTTTTCGTTGAATTTGGTTTTCAACGACTTTTTTCGCCTAAAATATTGTCCCAGTTTTCGTCCGTCACTTTGGATTTTGTCCACCTTACTGAATGCGTCTGCATGCCCGCGCCCACAGAACATCCCATGCATGTATTCTGAGTCAGTCTGGCTTTTTCATGTCGAGTAAACATTACCCTGCACTTTCATACGAAACATTTCATAATAATCGATTTTTTTTTTGTGCTGGTTTATTGAGTGCAACTGCTAAATAAGCCACCATGGGGCCAAAGAAAGTTTCGAGTGCCAGCCCTTTGATAAAGAAGTTGAGAAACGCTATAGAATTCAAGAGAGAACTTGTAGAAATAACGATTAAAAAGTGATTAAGGACATTTGTGCAAAGTGGAGTGAGGTGCCAAGTTTTGTGGAGAAATATAGCTCTAACAAAGCTGTTTTAAGTTGTGTCTGCAACATGTTCAATGACAATGCCTTGTCCCATTTTAGGCAAATCTTAAGAGACACCAGAAACAGACACCTCTGGACAGATTTTATTTGCGCCATGGGTACAGTGACTCAAGCTGGTCCTAGTGCCAGTAAAAGACAAAGAAGGGAAGTAACCCCAGGTAGGGACTTGATACCTGAAATCTTTATGGAAACAACCTATCCTCGCCGTCTTACATACGCCAACACGAGTCTTCAGTAAATGTAAAACTGATTTAAATGTTCATTTATCCATTAAAATTAGTGCTTTATATTATTTCATTTTTTGTGTATGTAAACTAATTTTATTCTCTAAAAAATGTTTTTTTTTTTTTTTTAATTTTTTTGGGTCTGGAAGGATTAATTGGTTTTACATTATTTTTATGGGAAATATTGCTTTAGTTTTAAATAAAACTCCGGGAAGAATTAAAAACAAAAAAAAGGGGTTCCCTGTATTATAGCTTATCTACATATTATTTTTTCTTTTTAAAATTTTTTAAGGCAGTACCATTTCCACTACACTTTTAAAATTTTGCATTAATATACTTTGTGAATTTAATTTTTTTACTTTTCCCCATCTCTTATCTGAAGGCTATTTTAAAGATATGATGATTATACATATTAACAAAGTTTTTTCACAACTTCATTAATATCCCCTTTTAGTGAAAATTTTCCCATTTTTGTCAGTGATGACATTTTTGTTCTTCCTTTGTTGAGGCTTTTAGTAGGATTTTATCAAACGTATCTAAAATCTTCTTCATTTGTTCATTTTTGTCAAGTTGTCATGCATTTTTTTCTTCAATCCCTTCTTATATGCATCAGCAGGGTTGGTCGCACTTTGACTCGTACTGTTTTTTTTTTTGACATTGGGCGGGCCTTTATTCTCCAGTGTTCCTTTTCATGCTGTCGAGGAATGAGACATTGACAGGCTGAAAGCTTTGCTCGTTCCCACCACGGCGAAAATTGATTTTGTTGTTAATGAACGGCTTCAGTAATAGGGGGGCCTGTCATCAATTTTTGGCTGTCAGACTGCACCAGCCCTCAGATCCACCTTCGCTACTCGTGATTCTGGTATATGTTTGGATTTGTGTGAAGGTTTTTAACTGTGTTACCTTGTTGAGTTTATGTATTGGGGCACCCTGGCGTACATATCCCCCGAAAAACAGGTTCTGTCAGCTTGAGAAATTTTTCCCCTGACCCAGAAGGCGGGTTGATATAAAGTTAGCTGAAAGAAAGACACAAAAAAATTAAGAGAAGTGTAGAATTTAAAAAAGACCTGCTAGCATGGGGCCCGTAGGCCTGTGGGTGTTCCCCCATACAGTGACCATTTCCCAAGTGGGATAACGATGAAGTTTTCCCGGAAGGGGTAGCTAGTTTAGAAATGTTTCCTGGTTAACTGATGGGTATGCAATGAATGATGATTCCAAGATTCTCATTTTTGGGGGTTCTTTTCCTTGGGGAGATACTGCGCTTTTGGGTGCTTTTTGCAATGAGCTGCATCTTTTGGGGGTCTTCTTGGGAGGGTCGTGCATCTTTTCAACTAATTAAAGTTGTGGGAGCTTTGGTGTAAAATAAGGTGTTCTCCAAGTCTTCTATTCTCGGTCGTATTTATTTTCAGAAATCGTGTTTGGAGGTTTGGATGTTTGTATTTTTGGTTCAATGTTGAAAAAGGTTTGGAAACCCTGCAGAATTCCCTTTTCAGGGGATGTCTGCAACATAGTGGATGCAGTGGTAGTTACTTGGATTATGGTCTTGGAGAAAATGTTGATGTGTTTAGCAATGGAGTTGGTGGGGAGGACTATTTATCTTTCATTGATATCGCATTAGGTGATACCCCATACAAAAAACATCAGATAAGGAACACAACAGGTTTTAATCCTCTCATAGGTATATCTCCCTTGCAATGATTGCAGTCAAATATATATGGATAAACCAAACACATTTCTGAACACTAATACGCCAGCAGAATGGACGATTTGCAGAATGCGTGTGTTTGTTTTACACTGAAACTGCCACAGCAATTTTAAATTTTTAAAGATTAACTCATTTTTAAAGAGGAAGACACCCAAGATGTAGGATCTTGGGAAACATCACTCATCTCAAAAAATTTAACAGTTTCAACTATTTTTAATGTTAGGTCTGTTTTTCCTTCTGGATTATTCCTGTATATACCCTCGTGTACCTTTTAATAGGAAAGAATGATATGAAGGAAGCCAATTGTTGACCAACCAGTGCATGTTGAATGAGCAGGTTTTTATTATATATCTTGTCATCTCATTATTCCCCCATTGTTTTGTTTTGGAGTGCTATTATTTACTAGATTTTTATTTAAGTGTTTTGGCAGTAATTCTAATGAACAGTTCTTTAACATTGCTGGACAGTGTATGACAGGGCCTTGCTTGGTACTAACTGTAGTATGGCAAGTGATCCCTTGATTATGGCAGTGAAAAAAAGTAATGCTTTCCTTTCAGACATGCCCTGGCTGAATCTTACCGGCTTAAGGCAGGGTGCGCAATTTTGAATTGGCTCATATTTTCACACTCACAAGGCTTAACAGATCCCTGCTCACATTTTCTTTCAGGGGATTAAAAGGTCTATAACAAGCTTGGAAGGTGGCACCTTAGGTTATGCAGAAATCATCGCTATTAAGGTGAGGCAACACTGCAACACAGCTGTGGGGGCATAACTTCTATATATTGAGCTTTCTTGGTGTTGGTAGCTACTAGCTTTCTTTTTATCTCTTGACACCGTCCATACTGCAATGTTCGCCTGTATCATAGCTTTAGTATATGTTTGCTGTAACTTGTGTCCTTGTTATATCATAATTAACTTTGCTTTCCTTTCCCAAAAATTGATTGTGTGTGCCTATGATGTCCTCACTGTAAACATAATTCAGGTCTTTCCCTAAAAGAAAGTGATTGCATTTGGCATAATTGATGTGGGTTACTATTGTGTACCTTTAATGTTTACTTGTGGTGTCAAATATAAAAACTACAGACGTATTTCTGTAGAAGATAGTTTTCACTTTGAATGCCACAAGCATAATATCACAGACGTAGATAGTTTACACGTGACGGCATTGGCATAAATTATAAATATCGTCTCTGTGATGTGTTGAGTGTTGCCACCTGTATTTTCTCAATAGCACAGTGTGCCTCTATGCATTTTGTAATTTTTTGCACTAACCATGTAGAATAAGCTTATGTGAACAGATGTGTTTAGCGATGGAATATTGAAGTGAATTATTATTATTATTATTATTATTATTATTATTATTATTATTATTTTTTTTTTTTAGCATTTCCACCTTCACTATTTTGCTGTATGTATATTTTGTTTTTAACATTTTTTTTTTTTTTTTATATGTGATACACTAACATTTCTTCTTCGAGATGCAGCCTCTCCTCACTTAGCAACGTACTTGTTTACCGACGCCTCGGACTTATGACGGCCACTCTGACTAGTATTCATACCTAAATAATGTATATTAGAACTGATTTCTTCTATTCTGTTTATTTCAATATACAATATACTACTGTATAAACATTTAAAAATATACCAGATATGTTATGAATGGTACAGAGGTGACATTAACCCTTACAGTCCAAACATATATGTACATGTATACGTTCTCTCGTGTAGCGCCCCGAATATTTTGAGAGAAAAAAATCTTTTTTTTTTTTTTTTATAGGAAAAAAAGAGCTTGTGGTACCCAACATCCCCAATTTTTTTCATATGGCACACACTGAGTGCGCACACTCATTCTCTCATGTCTAGGCGACTCAGGCCTATTGTGCCAATGTTGAATGAATGACAAATGAAACATATATATATGTTTGGGGCGCTACGCGATAGTGTATATATATGTTTGGACCGTTTAAGGGTAAACAGTATCAAAGATGGATGACACAAACTCACTACCATTATAGTATGCTTCTCACTTAACAACGAATTTGTTTAATGACATGGTGTTAGGAACGCAACTCCATCGTTAAGTGAGGAGAGGCTGTACTTTGTTTAATATACAGATGTTCCTTGACTTACTTTGCAGTTTTGTTCTGATGAATCCATTGCAAGTCAAAAATATTGTAAGTCACATGTGAATGTGATATAAATAATAAGTAAATTAATGTCACCAAATAAATAAATGAACCGAGAGTAGTGAAACTTTCGAAACTCTTCAAAGGTATAAATACCAGTACTGAAAACTAAATAAATAAATACAAGTTATGAACTTGCCACCTTCATCCTGGGTAATTATCTTAAGTTTCATCTCCAAAGTAATTGCCTTTGCACCATCATAAAGTTGAACCATCATAAGTCAAGGAGTACCTGTACAATTAACTTTAAATAGTATTTAAATGTATAACTTCCAAAAGTTTTTACTTGTTTTAACAGTCAATTACTAACATTTTTATTTGCAGACATTAATGCTTATTTTTGTTTTGTATCCTTTGTATCCCTTCAGTAATCCTGGAACTTCTTATAGAACTCTATCCAGTTGTCTGTGTCTGCCTGTCTGCCTTACATGTTGACCCTCTGCCATAAATCTGATAACAAAAACTGCACAACCACCACCTCCTTGAATGAGTCACAAAATATTCACAAATGTCTTGTTAATCTTCCTCCCAGTTAACATGTTTAGCTGGTTTGTTAACTTTTTTTTGGGGGGAGGGGGTTAATTTGCCGTATTTTTTGCAATACGCTTAACTTGAAACTTTAACCTAGCTTCATCATATTTTTTTTATAGGTCATTTATTTGGTGATTTATTGCTATGCTGTACACCACATACAGCCAGCCAAAACCTTTTAAAATGCAGATGAATATACGTACATAAATGTTTTTGTACAGAATTTTTTTTAAATAATTTTTTGGTGACATTTAACTTAGTGAATGGAGTTTAATGACTCACCAAGGAGGCTAAATAAAAAAAATTGTACCTTAGTGAGTAATATAAAAAACAGTATGTATAGTACTTTCCTCTGTTGCGGTTGGTCCTTGAGTATACAATACTGCCCGTGTTGCATTTCCTTTGGTCCCATCTTGACTGTCTTACACCCTTGTTGCAGGGAACTCCAGGAGGAGCCTGGGATTACATAGACTCTGATAGAATATTAGCTATTAAAGTAAGTTTTTTTTTTTTTTTGTCGTTTGTGAAAAGACGTGCACGGGGTCATGCAATTCATGTGATGTATGTATGAAGATATTATGTCTCATAATGAGTGTTTAGAGGCAGTTTCTCTTCTGACTTCTCTAGCCTATCCACTTAAAGTATTTATTTCTTAATTGCATACTCCCATTTTGTTAAATATTTATGCATGCTGTTACTGTATAATGTAATCCAGCATGTAGGTGCTATATTAAGTCATGTATTCATATTTATTAATTTGGGGGGTTTACATAGGTTACAAGAATGAGTGAAGAGCTTGCACTAACATCGTGTAAAAGTTTCTCAAAATGTGAATCTTGTTTAATTTCTATTGCACTAATTCAAAGGTGCTTAAATTACTGTTAGGATTAATATTAATTTACTGTACGTATATACACTGCAGTGTCTACCTGTAGTTCATTAGTCTTGAAAATTAAATAAAAATGTTTTGTATTACAGGTACTGTTATCAGATATCACAGGAAATAATTACATAGTGCTACGAAGAAAAAATCTTCGTGTGTATACAGTACTGTAAATCTCATTAAGAAACTACCATTGCTTCATAAAATTTTGTTCTCAAAAGAATTTGTTAAACAAGTGACCATACAGTATCTTCATAGACTGAGACATCACCCATATGCTTGCATACTAATTACACATCTTACAGGGAGATCCAGGGAGTCCAGGGCCTCCTGGTCCTGCTGGGCTCAGTGGCAAGGATGGACTGCCTGGCATGGATGGCAGAGATGGGTACCCAGGGGAACCTGGACCCCCTGGTGAGACAGGCCCACCTGGTGCTGTTGGACCACCAGGACCCCAGGGTCCACCTGGCCCACCAGGACCACAAGGGGAGAGAGTGAGTACTGGATCATTAATTTTTTGGCTTGTTGGTTTGGCTTTATTTATTGTTTGGCATTACAGTATAGTCATTTAATTTTGTGTAATTAAATAGGTCTTAATTTGGTATTTCCTGTGGAAGTTTTATTTTACCTCAATCATTGATTTTATTTTTATTGTACGATGCACTATAATTGTCAAACTTAGTGTAGCTCGTTCTGTGTAATTGTTAGTTCCAGAAGCTACCCCTTACATTATGGGGTGAATCCAGGATTTTATATATAAAATAATAGTATTAATTGGCATACCTATCTCCTCTTATAAACATCATTAACTAGATTTTATTATACCAGGGAACATTCTCAAACCCTTTGAAGTACTTAATATTTATTTAATAAAATAGTAATTCATCAGCCCAGAGAATACTTATTACGAGTGAGAACTACCAATTGTGCCTTTCTCAATAGTTCCTGAATCCACCCCAGCTTTGTATGCCATTTGTAGCTTCCTCACATGTATTTTAAAGCTTCATTTTACAAGAGTGCTTTGTTACTGCCTTTCATGATGCTTCAACTGGGTTTACTGTCTTACCTGACAACAAATATTCATTTATTCAATTTTAATGAGTTCTTTTTTAACACCCAACTCACACACCGAGCTTAGGTAATCACAATGGTATTCACATAGCTGCAGTGACCGTGGATAGTTGGCTATTGTATTTGTTTGCCATCATACATATTGTATACATCTTTTCTTGATGGCCTATTAGTGATGTCAGTATGGAGAGTATATTTACAGTATTGTAATATACTGTAATTACTTATAGTGACATTAGCAGATATGTTGAATCAGAAGATTTTATTGTTACTCGCCACTGTTTTGGAAATTCGCCAAATGCACGGCTTCATATGTAGTACACTCAAGAAGCACAATAGAAGCAAAGACTGACTTTCAACAAGATATACAGTAAAAGCCCAATTAACATGCGAGTTATGTTTCTGAAAGCTTCAGCTTATAACAGACATATCATTAGGTGGACTGAATAACACTTGAACAAAAAAAATTATTCCTGACACCTCCAAAAAAGAAGCCTAGCAAGCTTTTTAAAAAAAATTTAATTTTTTTCAAAAATAATAGTTTTTCATGCCTTACGCTATAGCTGATGTTACCTGTTGATCTGGAAATGTGTGGAGAGAATTTCTGGTTCTACTGGATGGAGGTGGATGATTGAGTTGTATACTGATGTCAGTGGCTGTGGTTTTTGTGCTAATGTAGATAATTTTAGTTTGTGTCGATGTGGATGACTAGTTCTTGTTTGATGCAAATGGCTATGGTGCTAGTGTCAATACTGGAGTGCTCATATATTGTGTAATGCATCTCTGCTCAATTTTACCCTTCGGTACTTCATACTGCAGGGTGATCAGCAGAACACATTTTCCCCACTGAACTCAATATTATGTAGCCAACTGTGTACTTTAAAGTGGTTAAATCAGTAGATAAACACACACTCTTATGAAGGTTTTCCTTTCTACTCCCACATTATTTTATAGTACACTAGGGTTTTCTTATTATAAGGGCATTCAGTGAGGCACTTATAATAAGTAAACACAAATAAATAAAATAAAATAAAACAAAATTTTATTTCTTTGCTAAGTCTGCAGTGTGTGTTTACATTTCATAATTTGATTGGTACAAAGAAAGCCACTATCATGCCGAGGCATTTCGGGCAGATTTAACATAATACTTACAGACTTCTTAAGTCTACTTATAGACTACTTAAGTCTAGACAGGTGAAGAGTGGTAGAATACAAATACAGTATTCAATATTTTACTCTATTATTAATTTGCTTTTTCTCAGTCCACATATTCAGCAACTGTTTTATCTCTTATTTATTTTATATTGACCTCTTTGTCATTCTTTTCAGTCAGTCTTGACCTAGATTACTCGCTGCACAAGCTCTTATCTTCATGTCTTTGCCTTTAATTGTACAAATTGCTGATACTTAAACACCTTTAAGTATATTATATGTAATACTTTACTGTCAGTTTTATGCTTATTCTTCTTGGAACCTTCACCACTGGCATTCTTCTTGGGTGACATGGTTAATATCCAACAATGAGATGGGATGATGAAAAGATCTACACTTGATTGATGAGCACAAGAGAGAGTAAGGTATGGAAGGGAGTAAGGCATGTTTGACAGGTAATTTTCCCAAGCACTTTGGACTTGGGTATATATTAATGTTTTATTGAAAAACAGTCATTGGATATGCATTATTGGGTTTCTACTATAATTCATATTAGCACTCTTAGAATAGTGCACTTGGTGAATAAAGAACAAAAATTTATAATATTCAGTTATTTAAGTCATTTCTGCTGTGTGAATACCATCTACATTACCTCATTTAACCTTGTCTGTCATTCCTTCCTACCTCTGTGATTATGTTGTGTTCGTGTTCCCATGTCCATGGTTCTATCCCCGGACCAGGGTTTTCGGGGAATGGCTGGAATTCCTGGTATGGACGGCTTACCTGGACCAATTGGACCGCATGGTTCACCTGTGAGCAAATGTTCTTCTTGCTGTTGGATATACCTAGGAGGGATATTAGCACTGTAGCCAAAAGATGCTCGAGTGTAGATCATACATTATACGTAATGCATAAGAAAGAATTAATGCTTAAATCTAGTGTGCAGAGCTACTGGGTAATGGAACATACAGATTGCCTTAATTGCACACCATCATAAACAACTCAGTAACATCCATTGCACACAAGAAGTAGTCTTCTATATCTATCAGATCTAAATCCTGGTCCTTTCAAGGGAAAAGGGGCAGGATGTTGGTGAAGGGTTTCTAGTTTAAGGAATTGAAGAACTTCCCATTTCTCAAGTGAATCTTGATTGCTGCCCATAGCTTATAATGCACTCTGTTAATCACCTTTCAGAACTGCTAGTACCAAACAACAACAGTTACCTTGCTCACTGCATGAGTCTCTAATTCTGTACTTAAATTCAAGCAAAAAAAATAAAGCTTTAAAATTACTGTACCTTTTTCAGAGACCCGGGAAAATACATTTGGTGAGCTTTGCCAAAGTTATAAGTGAGATAGTGTAACATGGAGTAACATTTTGACCCTCAAGCATCTTTAGACTATTATGTGCCTATACCCCTTTCTATACTAGCCATAGTCATTACATGTGTTCATGAGGTATTCCTCTCTGTGTGAATATTACCTTTGATATGGAGGTGGAATCAGATCTAAAGTTTTGTTTGATCCTCATCTGTTAGACTGTGAAAATAAATGTCTTTTGAGCAGTGGTAAAGATCAAAATGCAGTATTCAGTTTGCGTGGTGTGACTTAATACTCCCTGCTTTGCTCAGGGTCTGGAGGGCAGGAACGGAAGTAGTGGACCTCCAGGACTGCCAGTAAGTTTAGCGTATTTTGCACGCTTGTACTGTACGTACTAATCTTGTACAGGATTAATGTAAACTGTCAGTGTGTTACCTACAATGTGTCTAACAAAATAGTTGTATAATATGTATTGTATTGTAACTATTGAGAGGTCTGCAGTGGAGGGAAAGATTGCGCTGTCAGAATATAATTTATCAAAAGTTATATACAGTGGTACTCTAAGTTTTGAACTTTCTTCCTTCCAGAAGGCTGTTTGAGTGCCGTTACTGAATGAATTTGTTCCCATAAGGAATAATGTAAGCTAGATTAGTCTGTTTCAGACCCCCAAAAATACACTTACAAAAGCACTTACAATAATACACTTACATAATCAGTCTAGTTGGGAGCAGTTTGAAACTTGGGGTACCACTCTGTGTGTGTGTGTGTGTGTGTGTGTGTGTGTGTGTGTGTGTGTATATATATTTGTAGTTTTAAAAGTATTCTTTGTTTGTTCCATAAACCACAAAAGCAATAGCAACCTGCCTGTATAAACTCTTGAAAATTATTTTTATGTCCCGTACCTTACCATTGCATCAAAGGTATACAGTACCAATAAGTTGATGAATAAAACATTTGCAACACCTCGGTATCTGGACGAGATGTTTCACCTGTGCATCAGGATTTTTCAGTCTAATGCAGAGGCATGAGGACTTGTATATTGCATTCAGAGGAGAGGTGCAGCAGTTGAAGACATAACAATGGGCAGGACCCACTAGTGGAAGTAGGTCATGCTCATAAGATGGACCGTGAATTACTTCCATTAGTTGCTCCCACTTATATATGATGATGTTTTCAACTGCTGCAGTATGCCTTTCTCTGGCCCTCTCATGGGTTACACTCAGCAGTTTGGTGTAGGGAAATACATCCATACAATCTTCAGCTGTATTGCACAATGGGTAGAGTAAACAGAAAAGCAAGCAGTCTCACATCTATGCCTATCTAGTACCAGATTTGAGCTGCCAGCTGTAGGCAGTGATCCTACCATGCATGTACAAGACATCGCTAACATGAGTACCATGTTGCTGTGTCATATCTTAACGGACACTACCTGGCCAATGGTCTTGCATACCTGTGTTTTGTCATACAAGTGTCACAGGGGCACTATTGACAAATATAATGGCTGCACTTCTCTGCCTTATTCCTCATGCCTTTGTATTAGATTGAAAAACTTGCAGTGCATGTGAAATATCTCTTCAGTAACGATACCCTGGTGTTATCCAAATCTTACTCATGAAATAGATTAACTTCAGGTAATATTTCTCACTAGTCACATGGTCATTATTTGCTATGATTTGACAGTGAGCTTTGAGTATGTGTTTCTAAATTAAACAAATATTCTTCTAAAAATATTTTTGAGAGGTGCATATTTGAGTGGGATTGTTTATCTCTTCATGCTTTTTTAGAACAGTAGAACACAGTCAGTAGTGATTACTGGTAAACATTGTTACTTGTTAACATTACTTGTAACTACTGTATAACAGCTATGTATCATAGTGCAATAATGCAAGATTGATATGGATTATACTTGTCGTATTTGTTTTAAACCCTGGACAGTATACAAATGTTGTGTTTGTACATTAAACCAGGGACTGTATATGTAACCCATACCTTGCTAATCTGTAAATATCTTTATGCTATTTCATACTAAATCAAATGCCTTACCGAGAACAATAGATTGTATATATATGTAAATATTTAGCCCATATTGTAATGAATATGTACTAATGTAAGTGTACAGTTTATCTAGTTAGCTTTACTTAATTTGTTAATATTGGTATAGTCTTGTAAGATTCTGTTATCTGTTGGACTAACACACTATTTTTTCTTTGGTTTAATACCATCATTCTTGAAGAAAAACACATTTTGAACAAGCTTTTTTGGGACAACATTTTGCTCTATTAGAGCTTGATCAAGTTGTGTGAAGGATACAACAACAAACACACACACGCACATACGTACATATTCCTGTAACGGGAAGTAGAAGTAGGTGAGAGACTGTTGATGTGAGGGAAAATTGGTGTATGATAACTCGTGGATCTTGTAAAGCTATGCAGTATGTACACTGGTCAGCTCTCTTGCAGTGCTGCCTAGTTTCTGGCCATACCATTTTGTTCCATTCCTGTACCACACTGTTGCCAAAACTGTCTCTGTATTATGATGGTCAGTGGTGTTCTGTGTACTAATGAAAGCCACTTCCAAGGTGTGAATGTTTATTCCAATCAACCACTTGTGCATTGTTTGTGTGGCAAGTTCTGATAGTGCAGTTGTGTTCCTGAATTCATGAGAATACATGTCACTGGCCTCAGGGATCATGAAGAGGTATATATGAGTGACCGTCAGTGGGCTGGGAAATAGCTCAAGACCAAAACAGGTGTGTACCCTGTAGTGCTTACTTTATCTTATTCAAATACAATGCCCAACCATTAAGAAAAAAGAAGAAAAAGATGTAAGTCTAGAGAGAGAGAGAAGAGAGAGAGAGAGAGAGACTCCATTTACAGGTGAAGACAAAGATTTACAGAACTTCTCAAAGGTTCCAGGCTATCTTAAGAATAAAAATAAACACTGGTTAGAAAATTGGAAAACATTGATCACAAATTAAATGCATCATATAGTCCAGGGAAGACTGGGGGAGCAAACAAGTCATTAACAAAATTAAAAGAAATCGAAAATATTTTGTCCTATGCAAAATCCCGGGCAAAAGTCACATTTAATATTGGGTCCTTGCTTAAAGGCGATGGAACTTTCACTGACGACGACAAAGAAATGAGTAAAATACTGAAATCACAATGACTTGTGTTCAGTGAGTCTCTAAACTGATTGACAGTTCAAATGAATTTTTCATGAATGAGACTCAAAACTCTACTGATGCCTCCAATTTTTTTAATGTAATCCAAACCCTTCTTGATTAAGAGGTCCTTGGCAGCATGCCTGTGTGCCTGAACACAGGAGTTATCACACAGTTATTGAAACCAGATACAATTCCACTCCACAAAGGTAGTTGTAAAGCAGCTGCAAAAAACTAGCCCTAGTACTGTCATCCCACATTAAAATCTTTAAACATACATGTACATGCATTGGCCAGAATTGCACAAACTAGGGCAACATGAGTTAAGAGCAAGCTGCTTCTCCCTTTCACAATTGTCGAATCATTACAACATGGTTCTTGCATGCACTAAAAAACAAACAAAATGCAGATGTAGTGCACACAGACTCTGCATGAGCCTTCAACAAGTCTTATCATAGTGTAATAATACTCGAAATAACCAAAGAGAAATGGATAAGTAAAATAAAAAGGCAGCAACAGTGAAAAATCTCAGTTTCCCAAGTTACATTGCTCACCTTAATTCTTTTTCTCATACTTATCTCCAACATAATCAGAAACATTAATAATAGAACAGTATCATCCTTTGCAGACAGTACTAGAAGTTGCTTGAGAGTTGGATTGTGATTATGATTTACCAGTATATAATTTGAGTGAATTGATCATAACAGTAGCAAGTTAGCACAGATTGTGCTTTGTAAATACTTGTACAATAAAACAACTAATAATTTTGCATGCAGAAGTCACGCCCTACAAAAGCAAGTCGTGGCAAACAGTGCAGGGGTGCAGTGAGTGCAAGAGAACTGAGTAAGTGAAAAGTAACAGACTTTCAGACAACCTCCCTTCATCTATAAGAAAATTACCAACAGACCCCCAAACTATCTTCAAGAGGGAGCTTGATAAATATTGTCAGCTCCTGTTCAGCCCTGCTGTGGTGAATGTGTTTGACTCTTATGCGGCTAGCACCAATAGCCTGGCTAATCAGAACATCGCTTAGAAAGCCTGATCTCAAGCTGGGCTGTGGGGGTAGTGGCCACAGAAATTGTTTTAGTTAACCTTCAAGTAGCCACCAAGTGCCATTACACTTGCCTGATGCTACTGCAGCTCATAAAACCATGGGGTCCAAAATCCCCAAAGCAAACAGTGAGCTGTGAATATGGTCAGTGGATACACATGTAGATACACCACTAGACCTCATAGGAGCAATGCATAACCAGCTGCTTGAGTTGAGGTGAGACCAGCACCAAACCACCTAGCTTACCTGTTTCCCTCAGTGTGACACCACCCTGGCAAGAAAAGTTCCTGCTGGTGTGATCTAAGGAGAAACAGACTGTTATACCCCACTGTGGAAGTCAGTGACTTTTAATGAGTTGGCAATCTATAAATACCTAATTTTTTTGTAAAGGTGATTTTTACTAAATAATGTGACTCCAGTGGTTTTTGTCCATGTTAATTTTTTTTAATGATTTTATTAATATTCAAATATGCACTTGTCTTTGTGACTTTTCCTGTATATAAAAGGTATGGGATATGCTGTTATACCATCATCTCTTGTCTGTGTACACCATATTGGTGTTAATTAAATCAATACTGTGTTATACATAATACACAAGGTTAGTGCTGTATTATGTTTGGGATATATGATAAAGTTAGCAATGTTTGGAATATTAAGTGTTATTCTGGTTTGTACAATGGATGGAAAAATAAATAGCAAAAGAACTTATTTAGTGGATTTTACAAAAAAAAAAAGATAAGGAGTTATGATGTCTAACTTCAAAGTTCTTGCTTTAAAACACTCCTACAAGTCCCAATACTTGTCACATTAACCCAGTTAGTCTGCCACAGTTCATCCTAATTTACAGGTTAACACGCTTTATGTACTACTGCTACTACTACCATTTTCCTGAAAGCCTTTATAAAGGCTCATCGGTAATGTCAGTGCCCAAATCCCTACTTAGACTTGTTACTTGTTTGTCAGTGCCTTTTACATTACATTCATTTACTATACTTTAGTTTTCTCAATATTTTGCTCCTTTTATATCTTTGTCTTAATTTTTATTACTCTTTTTTTACAGTATTATTATCTAATAGATTCATTTCTTTTGCCTTTTGACTATTTATTTTGATTATTGCTATTCCTACATATGAAGCCAAGGCGTGTAGCTGTACAATATGTACTGTTTATGGTCACTGGAAATTGAAAGTAGTCCACATTGCTACATTACTGGTTATTACCATTTTTTTAATTATGGTAACCATTAATGTACATAGTATTCTCAGCTACAGTGGTACCTCGTGATATGAACAGCTCAAAACTTGAACATTTATGTAAGGGTATTTATGTAAGTGCTTTTGTAAGTGTATTTTTCAGGGTCTGAAACAGGCTTATCTATTTATTATTTTTTTATTTTATTTTATTATCACACTGGCCGATTCCCACCAAGGCAGGGTGGCCCGAAAAAGAAAAACTTTCACCATCATTCACTCCATCACTGTCTTGCCAGAAGGGTGCTTTACACTACAGTTTTTAAACTGCAACATTAACACCCCTCCTTCAGAGTGCAGGCACTTATCTAATTTACATTATTCCTTATGGAAACAAATTCGTTCAGTATCGGCACTCAAACAGCCTTCTGGAATGAATTAAGTTCGTATCCCAAGGTACCACTGTATACTTTGTTTCTATTGACCATGTACAGTATGGTACTGTTGTGCACTTTGGGTTTTCTATCATCCTTTATTCTCAATTGCTTTGTAATTTTAGTATGTACTATATTGCTAGTAGTATTTGCATATTTTTTGTATATTTTACATTTTTATCTTCTAGTTTTTATAACTTACTTGTTAAGGAGTTCATTAAACCTGATTTTAATGTTTGAGGTTACCAACCAATTTCACTGAAATCTTCCACGATATACTGGTGTTCTTAGTTTATCATAAATGTATAATTTCATTCCAATTCAAAAATTTTTTGTTCTAACTAGTATAAAGTTTGGCATGACACTGGCACACATGTAAACCTGAAACTCTAGTTAAATATGTAAACCAATATTTACCATATAGGTAATACTGATTGAGAAAATATTAAAAATACTTGTACATCACTATTGACGTATGTGTGTGTGTCTGTATGTACTCGCCTAATTGTGGTTGCAGGGGTCGAATCATAGCTCCTTGCATGTCTGTGTGTGTGTCTGTGTTAAATAGAACAGAAAGAAGTTGATGTGTGTTAGTGTGGGGTATTACAGTGTATGACTTAAGACAATTTGTTTACACACAAATATTACATAATGCTTGGTATTCTAAAATCCCATCTAAAAATGTTGACAACAAAATTGCAAGAAAGGGATTTTTTTTTTTTTTTCTGATGATCAGGCTTAGTGACATCTTCAAGTCAGTACCACATTTCATTCCCTTAACATTCTTCCTGCCTTACAACTTCTTCCTTATCTATTAGCCTCTTTTTCCCTTCCATTCCTCATTATCCTCCTTTGTCATCTTTCCCATGTTCTTTATTCTAAATACACAACTCATTATTTTCTTAGGAGTATGTAGCCATCCCTTCTATTCTTCACTTCTTTAATTCTTGTGTTCGTATCTTCTTTCTTTTTCCCTTCTTGATTTAGTCTTGTCTCTTTTTAATCCTGTTGCTTCCTCTTGATTATCTTCCCAAATAATTAACTTTTTTATTTTTTGGCTTTCTTTTTCTGTTATTTGTACACCCTGCTTAACATCATTAGAATTTCAGTAATGTAGTCTTTTTTCTATATTTTGTATTTCTGAAAACACTTGCTTAACCCTTTGACTGTCGCAGGCCCCTTTCTGAAACTGTCATTCTATGTCGATAAATTTTTGAAAAAAAAAAATTATTTTTTCTTATGAAATGATATAGAATCTTTCCCCGATGGTAATGACACCAAAAGTTCGAAATTTGGTCGAAAACTCACGGAATTACGCTCCCACGAAGTTAGCGGTCTCGGTGACATATGCGTATCGGCGCTTTCAGCCAATTCCATTGTTCCAGTTGACCAAACTCATAGCTATTTCTTTAGAACTCCATTTTATCTATCAGCTGAGTACAAGAAACTGCCCATTTACCAATTTAAACTACCCAATATAGTGGTCAGAAATTGGCAATTTGGCCAATTTCACGCAAATTAAAAAAGATGATAATTTCAAAATAGGGTCCAGAATAAACAAGGTAGACATTCTTGGCACTAAAATAACATATTCTCTGTTCATTAGTCACATCTCTAGGCCCCTCTTATATTATTATTGCTTTCTATTTTGATTTTTTATTCATACAAAAAAATACAAAATTTACTGTTATGCAGGCTACTGCATTATTGTAAAAATGGTACAAATAATATCAGTGCACTAGTGAAAGAATATTCGACTCCCCAGTTGATGTGTATTGGACGTATGGTGTGATTTGTTTACTCCTGAACATTGGTAAAAATCAAACATTTCCGCTAAGTTGAGCTCAGTTTCAAGGTCGTTTTCATCGTCAGAGTAATGAAAATCATCTCTATTTCTGTAATATGTTTTCCATTTTATCACCTAAGACCATGAAAGTGCGAATACAACGATAAATACTATACGAAAATACACCTCAAAGTCAGTGTTTTAATCCAAAAAAACGATCAGTTTTTTTTTTCTCATTACGCACTGTGTGCTGCAGGATTTTTTTTATGTGGTGCACACTGACCACACAGACCCATTCTCTCACATGTGGGCCTACCAGCTTTCTCCCGCTTGATTTGAAGCCGCTAGAATTATTGAGTATATATACGTCAGAAACAGTGGCGCGTAAGACGTATTTATATGGCGTAAACAGTCAAAGGGTTAAACCTTCTTCAGTCTTTTGCCCTCCTCCTGTGTTTCTCTTTTTTTTGTTTCTTATATCATTTTCAGCATTTTACTTCATATTTTACAACATTTTTCCTTAGAATACTCCTGCTCACTTTCGAATTTGAAGTCTCTTGCCTTCTTACCAGGGCATGAACTTACCACACTGATTCCTTTCCTCTGTCTGTCTCACGCCACTTCTACTATCCCTCTCAATGATTCTGTCCGCAGTACAGTACCTCCTTTGTCTTTTTATCTTAAGTTTACCCATTTCACTTCCTTGTATCTCTTTCATCTCCTACTATCTTCTTGACCTAGCTGCTTTCATAATATGGTACATCATATTTTGTCTAGTGCCACCAGCCAGTGACATACTTATTCCACCCATGGCCCGTCTTCATATCCCTTCCTAGTAAACGCCTAATCCCCCTTTCATATCCTGACTGACCCGCGATGGCTCCTCTCCAGGGTGAAAAAGGGCAGAAAGGTGACCGCGGTATCACTACCGTCAACGGAAAGGAAATTCCTGCTGGTATTCTTGAAGGACCCCCAGGTCAGCCTGGTAAGTTTTATTAATTTCTTGTTTTATGATTCCAGATGCCATATAATAAAGAAGAACGAATGGGAAAGATAGTAATAACCTCATATGGATCCTGGATGTTGTTATGGATTATTGTAGAATACCATACAGTATTGCAAGAGATGACATGGTACTAAGCAACCTAGCTCCTATAAAGGTTAACTTGGTTATTGTAAGTGTTTTGTGTATGAAATAATTGTGATCCTGGTTAATCCCTGTATAATGTATTTATTGTAATTATAAACTAGGTAATGACTGTTGATATTGTAAGCTTATCAAAAATATATGTATGACTGCAGTATTGTTGGTAAACAGAGTATTATAGCCTTATAAAGTATTGTAGTCTGATTTAAGAAAAAATTAATTGCTGCTGATTTAGTGTACAGGTATATACATGGTTCTGTGCAGTACTGTATTGTAGACTCCAATACATTGTGAGGGCATCTGTTGGTTCGTATATATCAGTTACATCTGAAGTTCAGCTGTCTCAGCTGTCTACTTAAAAGAATGCCTCTGTGAAAGAGATTTAGCTGCCAGTTGTCACTAATTAAATTAACTGAATTTCCTTGGGGTTGTTGCAGGCAAGAATGTATAATTAGAAGAATTTTGAAGGTTCTGTTTATGATGTATAGAAAGAAGTGGTTTAGACATCTTTCCCTGTAAGCCATGCATGCCTTAGAAGACAGCTAAAATGCTGGAATGACAGGGTTTTAATGCCTGTTTGTATATGCAGTTACAGTAAAGGAAAAAGGAGGAAATTGGTTTTCCTTATTGTTTGGTCTTCCTGCCTTGGTTGGAAATGGTTTGTGTATTATAAAAGGAAGAAAAAGATCAGTTGAGAAGTGATTTGTTCAAGGAAACATGGCCATAATAATGGAAATAAATTTTTTTGCTTTTTTAATAGAAATTGTTCCGGTTTTTCATCAAATTCCTGCTGCAGCAACATTGTGTGGCCTACAGCAATCTTGTAATTTTAGTGTTCACTTATTTTGTTTTTGCTTGTAAATTACTTTTAAATTTATTGTGCTAGTTTATTATTGTGGTTACTGCAGTAACTCATAGTTTACATCATTACTGTACAAGCAGTTGGGTGCTGCTTACCTTCTTCACTTGGTAAATAAATATGCAGAAAGTTTTGGCGAATTGTTTAAATATTAATTTTAGGTTGTGTTGAAGTGTGGATGTGAATAGTGACTTGATTATAATAATAGCTGTAGAAATTCTCCTTATGTAATATCCTGTTTATATTGTGAAAAATTATAATTGTGTAGCTGGGTTGGTAAAAAAGACATAATGCACTTTTTATTTTTTTACTCTGCATTTTGTATGTTAAAATAAGAACCTCAAGTCATTATGCTAAGTACAATATGAAACATCAGTGACCAAAACTTAGCAGTGTGTTAGTACAGTTCCAGAACCATGTAGAAAGGCTATAATATCAATATTTTCCTTCAGGCTCCAAGTCAAAATGCATTTTTTCTACATAATGATCTTCAGTCATAACCATAAGATGAACAGCATTCATTTTGTAGAGCTCTGTTTTTTGCATTCACTTTTACCAGTAGTGTAACATTGGCAAGAGAGAGGTTTTAAAATAGATGCTTTCCTCGGTTGTGACAGGTCCTTCAGGGCCTCCTGGGGCCCCAGGGGAACAAGGACCAGAAGGTCCAATGGGCCCTCCTGGGTTGGACGGGGAAGAGGGGGCTCGAGGACCTCGGGGCAGGAGGGGAAAACGGGGCAAGAGGGTATGTACCATTATCCTGACTTGATACCCTCTTTGGTGCTGGGTATGCCAGGCTGCCCCCCCCACACTTCCACACACTTTCCATGTTTCATTTCCGCCACTGTAGATGCGATAATGCAAGGCGTGTGCTTTCTCTACCATTCATTACCATCATGTAATTGTCATCTTGGAATGCTTTCTTTCTGTGGTATGCCAACAAATGGCAGGTGTGTAGTGGATATGTACTGCAGCATTGAATTTAGTTCTTGGTGGTCATGGAGTATAGTTGTGACCTGAATTCACAAAAGATTTCTGTTGAGCATTGCAGTTGGCATAACCTGAACCACATATTGATAACTGGTTTATGAAGTGTAGCTGATCAAGTAAATAACACCTTAAATGGTGCTTAATTGTACTAGAGTGTAAAGTTATTTATTATTTAATAGTGTATTAATGAATTTTCATAATACGTAGATAACATAATATGTTGAACAGACACAGCTTCCTTCACAACTCAGCTTCACTTTATATTAAAGCTTTGTTTAAAAATACAGTAAGAATAATCACTAATATAAAAATGTGCTTTTTGTGCATCAACAGTTGTATTGACAACTAGTGTATATTAACAATAAATAGTTGGCAAGAATATCTTAAATTTGTCATTTTTGTACTAGTACATTTGTATCGTAAGATGCTTGAAAATGTGTAATGCCTCACATGCTACTGTAAACTGTCAACTACAACTTATTGGATTTGTTGTTAGTTAGGGTGTTATCAACAAAAACTACTCGCTTCATATTTTTAAATAACAAAATACTGTACTTACATGTATACATCTCTGTATCAAGTGTTCCAGCAGTGAATGAGAGCAATCATGTGTTGCTTCTCAGTGTGCACAAATGTTTAATTGTATGCGTGTGTTTATTACATTGGTGCAGTGTGTGTTTTCAAGTGTGTGTGCACATGCGCGTGCACATGTGTGTGTGTGCGTGTGTGTGTGTGTGTGTGTGTGTGCGCGCGTGTGTGCATAACATCTTTCTACCTGTACCTTCCTTTCCAAGATCCCACTCAACCCTCCCAGTCTATCTGTATATAGTATTAATATATGTTGCTACAACATTCTGCATTTGTTTGTTTGTTTTTGCTTGCAGTTATTGCCTTGTTGCTTGTATAAGTGCATGGCCAAAGTAGCATACCACTTCCACTTAAACATTCAGTTACCTTCAGATTATAAATACAGTACGTATGTAGTTTTTCTTGGTTTTGCTCTATGGTTGATAAGCCAGGGCTGTATTTGATTTCTGCTTATGGTTGGTTTGGGTCTCTTATCGCAGTTTTAAGTTGTTCTTGGTGGTGGTTGCTACTAACAGAAACTGGGTTCCTTATTTTCCTTGTAAGCTGATTTGTGATTGGTCAGCTGTGGTGTTGGTGTTTGTCCTGTCTTCACCTTCTCCAGTCGATTGACCAATGGTCTTTCGGCACTGTGACGTCACTAACCCCTTCACCCAATCCGATGTCAGTAACCCTGTGTTCGTCCTGTGTTCTGTGTAAGTATAACCATGTATTTGTGTAGTCCTAGTAAATGTTATGTGTAAAATAAACTGTAGTTACTAACAGTATTAAAACAGTAAACATATTAATACACTAACATTTTAAGAGAAACTTATGTTTATTATGAAACTAAATACTACAGTGCTTGAAATGTAACACGCCTCAGACTTGTTATTCACCTTTTGCTATAAAGCTGTTTTAATTTTTTTTGTTTTGTTATGTTTGTTTACAGTAGAAGTACAGTAATTGGTTTTTAATTTACTTTTGTTTTAAATATCAGTAGGATATATTTAATATGCAATACAATGTTTTTTGTTGGAAGTTTTTATTTTATTACTGTTTGGCATTACTTTCACTATCAGTTAAATCTTAAGAGCAATTTCACACAGCAGTGATATCTAAGGGTGATTTAACACTGATAAAACTGACTATTACTCATGTGGGTATGTGATGGCAGGGACGACGAGGTGAGTCTGGGAGAGCAGCAGCACAGGGACTGCCAGGAAGAGCAGGGCCCAAGGGAGAACCAGGAACCATTGGTCCAGCAGGAGAGAAAGGCGAGTGAGGCTTCTTTATAGCATGAGGGCATTGTTAGTGTGTAAACGCCAAGTTGAGGCATTACGAGATAGTGATGTAGCAGCCTTAATACACTATTTATTTACAATATAAAAAGGTTAAATGAAAACTTAAACACTTTGAAAAAATCTTAATTTGTTTTGTATACATTTTTACATAGCTATAATGTTGTTTTAATGAAAGTTCACAAGTGACATAACTCACAAGTTGATGTAACTCCAACTTGTGACTCGACTAAAATTAACTTTTGTTGGTGATTTTACTGAGATAGCAGCTACCCTCACTCTTAACAGTCAGAATATTTTTTAATTGCTAATACAGTGGAACCTCAAAAATCGAACGTATCACATATTGAACGTTTCGAAAATAGGACCATTTTTTCGGACAAACTGTCCCTATTATTGAACGCGCCCCTATTTTCGGACCACCGGGTATGGGACCTGTCTGCCGCCCGCTCTGTCCGCGTCCCCGCGCAGGTGCCGTGAGCAGTCTAGCTTTGTTTATGCTTTAGTGAACAATAACCTGCGCTCTCATTCACGCATTTTACGATTATTTTGTTGTGTTTAGTGCTTGTGGGACTGTGAAATAAGCTGCCATGGGCCCAAAGAAACTTGCTAGTGGTACCCCTGTGGTAAAGAAAGTGAGAAACACCATAGATTTGAAGAAGAAAATATTACAGAAGTATGAGAGTGGTGTGAGACTTGTTGAGCTTGCCAGGATGTATGGGAAAAACAAGTCGACCATCGGTTCTATCCTGTCAAAGAAAGAACAAATCAAGGAAGCTGATGTTGCGAAAGGTGTTAATATAGGGAGTGGATGAGGTGCCTTCTTCAAAGATTAAGGAGATTTGTGCCAAGTGGAATGATGTCCAAATGTTTGTGCAGAAGTACCACCCTGAGCAAGCTGAAACAAGCCATTTTTGCAACAAGTTCAGTGACAGAACCATGTCCCATTTTAGGGAAATGTTAAAGAGGCACCAGAAACAGAGGACTGTGGATAGTTATTTTGTGAGACAGGGGTCCAGTGACTCCCAAGTTGGTCCTAGTGGCATTAAAAGGCAGAGAAGGGAAGTAACCCCAGAGCGGGCTTTACCTGTAGTCCTCATGGAGGGGGATTCTCCTTCCAAACACTAGCCCCAACTCCCTCTCTCCTCCTCCCTATCTTCCAGATGCCATCACCAGTCTTCAATAAAGGTAAGTAAAAATGTTATTTTATATGTATTACTATACATAATTAAAAACACTAGTACAGTATTTGTTGTATGTAAATCTGTAATTAATCTCTGTAAAATGTATTTTTTGTGTGAATATTTTTGGGTTTCTGGAACAGATTAATTGTATTTCCATTATTTCTTATGGGAAATATTGCTTCAAATTTCAGACTTTTCGAATTTAGAACTAGCTCCTGGAACGGATTAAGTTCGATTTTTGAGGTTCCACTGTACATTCTTTTCTTCATTACTTCAGAGTGAAGATTTTTTCATTACAAGATATTATAGATGATTTTTTTTTTGTCATATTTGCTGATTGTAATCCAGTTAAGATTATAACTTTCTAATTAGGATACATTCATCCTTAATGAAATCTGTTTAGTTTTAGGTTATGCAGAAAACCAAGTCACTCTTGAACTGAACTGTCTGTCATATGACCAAGTCAAATCCATAGGTACAGTACAATCCTTCTGGTATTGCATATCTCCTTTATTGCAGTTTGTGAGAATGTGACTGATGCATAAAAAAAATTGCTTGGGAGTTGTCATTCATTATAATCATATTGATTTTTAAGGTATCACATGTGTGTTTTATATTTTATTAGGAGAGGGTACAGTAAGCTGACAAGTGGAAATAGCTTTTTGGGCTGATATTTAGAAAAGACTATGGAAGACCCATTGAACTACAAAAAATTACAAACATTCTGATTTAATGGACAAAGTCCATTAAAGCCAAAATGAATTTACCCTGAAGGCCGTAAGAATAATGAACAGTTATGGATTTAATAGACTTTGTCCATTGCATTTGTATACTCAGTCACAGATTTTGACCATTGAATCTGAAATCCATAAATAGGGTTTGTTAAATTTAGGTTTACTATATTGGAGCTGCAGCACCAGCACTGTTGACCTGGTAGTGAGGTTTGCAGTGGTTTACCTGCGAGTTTACTGAAATTCTTTCTTCTTGAAAATCATTGTTGTCTGTAACCAACTGCAAAGCTTAATTTACATTGGCTTGGAGGTTTGCTGTGTCCCCAATGGCTGTCACTCTTACAGATTCCAGTTTCACCTGCAAAACGTGCCTCCAAGAACAGAGCTTTTCACTAGGGTGGCCTTTGAATTTACCTTTTGATTGTTACTATTTTTCGTTAGAGTTGTTGGATTTGTAGCTTTTATCCATCTTCCCCTTATTCTAGTTATTCTTTTGTTTGCATTTTGTGTATTATTGCACCATGATCACACTTGTTCAAGGCTTTCTCAGTTTTTAATATATTACATGAGCATTTTGTTTGTTTCACAGAATCCAAAACCATGTCATAGTGGTCTAGTAGTTGGGGGGAACAGGTGCTTTGTTTAGTTATTCCTAGGTGGGTCTTCTACAAAATAATAACCTTAAATATTTTATGATTTTTTCTTTTTCTCTCTTGAAGGAGAGAAAGGATCAACGGGTATCCAAGGCCCCAAGGGAGAGATTGGGCCTCGGGGTCCAGCAGGTGTAGATGGACTTCATGGTGAGTCTGGACCTCAGGGACCACCTGGGCTGCCTGGAGCGTTAGGCCCTAAGGGTGAGAAGGGTGAATATGGTGACATTGGCCCACCAGGTTTGATGGGACCACCAGGCTTACCAGGACCCCCAGTAAGTGCTGAAGCACAATACAAACTTTTTTTTCCATTTGATGGTTTACATACTTCTAAGCATAGTTTCATAAATTAAGTCAAATATTTAGTACTTGCAAAATTCATCTTGTAAAACTTGGCAAATATTTTATTTTACAAATACTTTACCCCTCATATCTACTGTGTATATTGATATGGTATCATTTAATGTGTATTTTTAAGAAGGAAGGACAGATTTAATATTTTACTATTATACTACCTGTAAAAAAATTTTTTAGTTTGTATATGATAGTTTTCCTATGATATGATATTGTTTTAATGTAAAGTATTAAAGAAGAGAATTTATTAAATTATTTACCTTGTCATAAGAGGTGACTAAATGCCAAAATTACCAAATTTAAAAAGAAAAACTTTTGTTTTTCTTTTTAGATCACCTGCCTTGGTGGGTTACAGCTGGTTTGTTGAAAAAAATTGTGCATTAGTGTTTAGTACAGGAAATGTTTTATGTTATGTATTATAACAACATAGTTACTTCTTGGTTTAGGGTTTGCCTGGACTCAAAGGAGACAAAGGTGACAAAGGAGACTCGGTGAGTGTGAACGCATTGACTAACAATAGTTTTAAGATTGATCAGTTTTTAAAAGTAAATACTAAGCAGTATACAACAGATCTGAAATATGAAATTATACTATTCTATAAAGCTTTGTTAGTTATTCACTTAGCATTTACATATTTACTCATATACAGTAGTTTCTCAACTACCTGATGAAAGAGATATTACCATTTGTGAAACAAATTAATTTAGAAGTGAAAAGCTACTGTAAAATCTTGTTTTTTTACTAGTAGTGATTTGAATGCACAAGCATTTTACTCTCATTTACAGATATTTATTTTGAAATCTTAGAATATCTTAATACTTTTCTTGAAAGCTGCTTTAAGATATCTTTAATTAACTTTAAGCTCTGGATATATTGAAAAATGTACTTGGTATTGCCATGGGTGGCAAGGTTCCCCACTGTACAGTTTAACCCGTAAACGGTCCAAACGTATATATACATTTTTTCAACATTTGAAAGTATGTAAAACAAGTAGATCTTCTTTTCGTTTTTTTACATTTGAAAATGTGTAAAAAAACTTTGATCTACTTTTTTTTTTTTTTGTTATATTTGAAAATATGTAAAAAAAAATGTAGATCTACTTTTGTAGCACTACACATGTGAACGTAGATCTACTTGGACCGTTTACGGGTTAAGAGATAAGGTATGGGTAACCAAAACCATGGATAGAAATACTGGGGATAATAAGGGCCTGCCGTATTAAATCAAAGATGATTATTGTAATTACATATTTTAGGGGATATGGCAAACCTGTAAAGGTTATATAGTGCCTGGGGAATGGTGTTATATTCATGGTGACTTGCTGAACAGGTTTGATCTGAGGAAAGGGGGAAGTATCTCCAGTTCCTCAGATCAAGATCCCTTCACCATTATCAAGGCAACCACCTTCCTCTCTTCCACTTTACATATGGTATTGTATTTTGCAAATGGGTTAATGTTTGAACGTAAGTATAGTGGTATCTGTTTTGAAAATAAATTAGTATTACCTTATTTAAAATATCCAAGTTTAAATTTATTCATTCTAAAAGTTTATGAATATGCTCAATTTTTGCTGTTGTACATACACCAAAATTAAGAATTTGATTTTATATAAGGCTGCTGTGTCTTGTTATTGGTCCAGCAGGATGGGCACCAGATGCACCCAGCTGCTGACCGAAAAGACTCGTAAGTCAGTACACACAGAAGATCTTCTGCCTCATGCAGTTTTGTTTACCACATATTTTTGGTAGACTGATGGTTTAAATACAATGTTCTGTCACACATGCAAAAGATATAAACTCTAATTTTGTAGGATATATATAGCAGGTAAAGCTGTACATTATTATACTGTATTTAGAAAAGTATTAAATCTATACGAGTCATTCAGAGCTGTGACAAAAACTGTGTAATCCAGCAGTATCAAGATTTGTGACATAGAAGGATTTGCTGTCTTCCTTTGTCCCTCACCACCTGTCTTAATTTACATTTTACCATGACAGCTTAAGAGCATCAGTTTTTTTAATTTACATATTTTGAGTGTGTGACTTAGTTGCATTGCCAATTCATATCTTTGAGTTCCAAGAGGCTTATTACCCCTGGAGCCCGGCCATGGGTCATGCTCGATGACAGTAATCATATGAAACTGATTTGTATCAAGAATATTCAACATTTCCATTAGCAAAAGGCTTAACCACTTACAGTGCAATTTTGTAAATAAATAAAGTATATAAGTCACAGACTCAAACATATTTTATTGTTTATTTTTTTGCATTTGCCTTTTATAACTTTTTTTTTTTTTTACCAAAATTTTAATAAGTACCATTTTCTTTTTCCCTGCAATGCATCCCAGAAACTGAAAAAACTCAGAAGAAGACAGGTAACTCTAAGTGTTTGTTTAATATGTTAATAATCTCTAAACATTACAAATACCTTAGGTGGTGTAGCAAAATCTTGGGAATAATTTTATTGTATTTGTGATAGTCGTCAGTTAAATCTTCTTAGACTTTTTTCTCCTTTTACTACACATTCTTATTTATTACTACATTATATTAGTACAGGATGTCTAATACATGTTGATAAGGTGGAATGATGAAGTAAAGGGTGTGATAAAAGAGAAAAAGTTAACTTATGAGAGGTTTTTACAAAGCAGAAGTGTTATAAGAAGAGTAGAGTATATGGAGAGTAAAAGAAAGGTGAAGAGACTGGTGAGAGAGTGCAAAAGGAGAGCATAGGATAAAGCGGGACCTGGAGTTTACCTGGAGAGAGTTCCGGGGGTCAATGCCCCCGCGGCCCGGTCTGTGACCAGGCCTCCTGGTGGATCAGAGCCTGATCAACCAGGCTGTTGCTGCTGGCTGCACGCAAACCAACGTACGAGCCACAGCCCGGCTGGTCAGGAACCGACTTTAGGTGCTTGTTCAGTGCCAGCTTGAAGACTGCCAGGGGTCTGTTGGTAATCCCCCTTATGTGTGCTGGGAGGCAGTTGAACAGTCTCGGGCCCCTGACACTTATTGTATGGTCTCTTAACGTGCTAGTGACACCCCTGCTTTTCATTGGGGGGATGTTGCATCGTCTGCCAAGTCTTTTGCTTTCGTAGTGAGTGATTTTCGTGTGCAAGTTCGGTACTAGTCCCTCTAGGATTTTCCAGGTGTATATAATCGTGTATCTCTCCCGCCTGCGTTCCAGGGAATACAGGTTCAGGAACCTCAAGCGCTCCCAGTAATTGAGGTGTTTTATCTCCGTTATGCGCGCCGTGAAGGTTCTCTGTACATTTTCTAGGTCAGCAATTTCACCTGCCTTGAAAGGTGCTGTTAGTGTGCAGCAATATTCCAGCCTAGATAGAACAAGTGACCTGAAGAGTGTCATCATGGGCTTGGCCTCCCTAGTTTTGAAGGTTCTCATTATCCACCCTGTCATTTTTCTAGCAGATGCGATTGATACAATGTTATGGTCCTTGAAGGTGAGATCCTCCGACATGATCACTCCCAGGTCTTTGACGTTGGTGTTTCGCTCTATTTTGTGGCCAGAATTTGTTTTGTACTCTGATGAAGATTTAATTTCCTCGTGTTTACCATATCTGAGTAATTGAAATTTCTCATCGTTGAACTTCATATTGTTTTCTGCAGCCCACTGAAAGATTCAGTTGATGTCCGCCTGGAGCCTTGCAGTGTCTGCAATGGAAGACACTGTCATGCAGATTCGGGTGTCATCTGCAAAGGAAGACACAGTGCTGTGGCTGACATCTTGTCTATGTCGGATATGAGGATGAGGAACAAGATGGGAGCAAGTACTGTGCCTTGTGGAACAGAGCTTTTCACCGTAGCTGCCTCGGACTTTACTCTGTTGACGACTACTCTGTGTTCTGTTAGTGAGGAAATTATAGATCCATCGACCGACTTTTCCTGTTATTCCTTTAGCACGCATTTTGTGTGCTATTACGCCATGGTCACACTTGTCGAAGGCTTTTGCAAAGTCTGTATATATTACATCTGCATTCTTTTTATCTTCTAGTGCATTTAGGACCTTGTCGTAGTGATCCAATAGTTGAGACAGACAGGAGCGACCTGTTCTAAACCCATGTTGCCCTGGGTTGTGTAACTGATGGGTTTCTAGATGGGTGGTGATCTTGCTTCTTAGGACCCTTTTAAAGATTTTTATGATATGGGATGTTAGTGCTATTGGTCTGTAGTTCTTTGCTGTTGCTTTACTGCCCCCTTTGTGGAGTGGGGCTATGTCTGTTGTTTTTTAGTAACTGTGGGACGACCCCCGTGTCCATGCTCCCTCTCCATAGGATGGAAAAGGCTCGTGATAGGGGCTTCTTGCAGTTCTTGATGAACACGGAGTTCCATGAGTCTGGCCCTGGGGCAGAGTGCATGGGCATGTCATTTATCGCTTGTTCGAAGTCATTTGGCGTCAGGATAACATCGGATAGGCTTGTGTTAACCAAATTTTGTGGCTCTCTCATAAAAAAATTCATTTTGATCTTCGACTCTCAGTCTGGTTAGCGGCTTGCTAAAAAATGAGTCATATTGGGACTTGAGTAGCTCACTCATTTCCTTACTGTCATCTGTGTAGGACCCATCTTGTTTAAGTAGGGGCCCAATACTGGATGTTGTTCTCGACTTTGATTTGGCATAGGAGAAGAAATACTTTGGGTTTCATTCGATTTCATTTATGGCTTTTAGTTCTTCCCGCGATTCCTGACTCCTATAAGATTCCTTTAGCTTGAGTTCGATGCTTGCTATTTCTCTTACCAGTGTCTCCCTACGCATTTCAGATATATTGACCTCTTTTAGCCGCTCTGTTATTCTTTTCCATCGCCTGTAAAGGGAGCGCCTGTCTCTTTCTATTTTACATCTACGCCTCCTTTTTCTTAGAGGAATAAGCCTTGTGCATACATCGAGTGCCACCAAGTTAATCTGTTCTAGGCATACGTTGGGGTCTGTGTTGCTTAGTATATCTTCCCAGCTTATATCGGTTAGGACTTGGTTTACTTGGTCCCACTTTGTTTTTGTTATTGAAGTTGAATTTGGTGAATGCTCCCTCGTGACTAGTCTCATTATGTCGGTCTGGGGCTCCACGCATACATGTCTGAACCTCAATTATGTTGTGGTCTGAGTATATTGTTTTTGATAAGGTGACATTTCTTATCAGATCATCATTGTTAGTGAAGATGAGGTCTAGTGTATTCTCCAGTCTAGTAGGCTCTATTATTTGCTGGTTTAAATTGAATTTTGTGCAGAGATTTAAAAGCTCGTGTGAGTGTGAGTTTTCATCAGAGCTGCCTCCTGGTGTTGTTACTGCAACAATATTATTTGCTATATTCCTCCATTTTAGGTGCCTTAAGTTGAAATCCCCCAGGAGCAAGATGTTGGGTGCAGGAGCTGGAAGATTTTCCAGACAGTGGTCAATTTTTAACAGCTGTTCCTGGAATTGCTGGGATGTTGCATCCGGAAGCTTGTAGACTACCACAATGACTAGGTTTTGGTTCTCGACCTTTACTGCTAATGTCAAGAAATTTTAATGAAAATAAGAAAAAAAATTTTGAGTGAGTTAAACAAGTTAAGAAAGCCTAGAGAACGAATGGATTTGTCAGTTAAAAACAGAGTAGGGGAGTTAGTAGATGGGGAGATGGAGGTTTTGGGTAGATGGCAAGAATACTTTGAGGAACTTTTAAATGGCGACAAAGAAAGGGAAGCGGTAATTTCATGCACTGGCCAGGGACGTATACCATCTTTTAGGAGTGAAGAAGAACAGGATGTGAGTGTGGGGGAGGTGCGTGAGGCATTACGTAGAATGAAAGGGGGTAAAGCAGCTGGAACTGATGGGATCATGACAGAAATATTAAAAGCAGGGGGGATATAGTGTTGGAGTGATTGGTATTTTTGTTTAATAAATGTATGAAAGAGGGGAAGGTACCTAGGGATTGGCAGAGAGCATGTGTAGTCCCTTTATATAAAGGGAAGGGGGACAAAAGAGATTGTAAAAATTATAGAGGAATAAGTTTACTGAGTATACCAGGAAAAGTGTACAGCAGGGTTATAATTGAAAGAATTAGAGGTAAGACAGAATGTAGGATTGCAGATGAGCAAGGAGGTTTCAGAGTGGGTAGGGGATGTGTAGATCAAGCATATATGTGAACAGTATTTAGATAAAGGTAGGGAAGTTTTTATTGCATTTATGGATTTAGAAAAGGCATACGATAGTGAATAGAGGAGCAATGTGGCAGATGTTGCAAGTACATGTATATGGAATAGGTGATAAATTACTAAATGCTGTAAAGAGTTTTTATGAGGATAGTGAGGCTCAGGTTAGGGTGTGTAGAAGAGAGGGAGACTATTTCCCAGTAAAAGTAGGTCTTAGACAGGGATGTGTAATGTCACCATGGTTGTTTAATATATTTATAGATGGGGTTGTAAAAGAAGTAAATGCTAGGGTGTTCGGGAGAGGGGTGGGATTAAATTTTGGGGAATCAAATATAAAATGGGAATTGACAGTTGTTTTTTGCTGATGATACTGTGCTTATGGGAGATTCTAAAGAAAAATTGCAAAGGTTAGTGGATGAGTTTGGGAGTGTGTGTAAAGGTAGAAAGTTGAAAGTGAACATAGAAAAGAGTAAGGTGATGAGGGTATCAAATGATTTAGATAAAGAAAAATTGGATATCAAATTGGGGAGGAGGAGTATGGAAGAAGTGAATGTTTTCAGATACTTGGGGTAGGGGTCGTCCTCGAAAAGGTTGGAAAGAAGGGGTAAGGGAGGTTTTGTGGGCGAGGGGCTTGGACTTCCAGCAGGCGTGCATGAGCGTGTTCGATAGTAGTGAATGGAGACGAATGGTATTTGGGACCTGACGATCTGTTGGAGTGTGAGCAGGGTAATATTTAGTGAAGGGATTCAGGGAAACCGGTTATTTTTATATAGCCGGACTCGAGTCCTGGAAATGGGAAGTTCAATGCCTGCACTCTAAAGGAGGGGTTCGGGATATTAGCAGTTTGGAGGGATATGTTGTGTATCTTTATACTTATATGCTTCTAAACTGTTGTGTTCTGAGCACCTTTGCAAAAACAGTTATTATGTGTGAGTGAGGTGAAAGTGTTGAATGATGAAAGTATTTTCTTTTTGGGGATTTTTTCTTTTTGGGTCACCCTTCCTTGGTGGGGGACGGCTGACTTGTTTAACCCTTAAACTGTCCAAACGTAGATCTACATTTTTGCAACATTTGAAAGTATGTAAAAAAAGTAGATCTTTTCTTTTTTTACATTTGAAAAAGTGTAAAAAAAACTTTGATCTACATTTTTTTTTTATTTGAAAATATGTTAAAAAAACATAGATCTACTTTTGGAGCACTACGCATGTGAACGTAGATCTGCTTGGACAGTTCAAGGGTTAAAAAAAAAAAAAAAATTGTCATGTACATGTATTCCCATATTTACATGATTCTGAAATGGATGTAAAAGCTAAGGCTAATATCTTTCAAAGACTTATTTTTATAGGGTTACACTTACTGGTATAAATCTATAGGGGAAGGAAAGAGGGGTAGGGGTCGTCCTCGAAAGGGTTGGAAAGAGGGGGTAAAGGAGGTTTTGTGGGCGAGGGGCTTGGACTTCCAGCAAGCGTGCATGAGCATGTTAGATAGGAGTGAATGGAGACGAATGATACTTGGGACCTGACGATCTGTTGGAGTGTGAGCAGGGTAATATTTAGTGAAGGGATTCAGGGAAACCGGTTATTTTCATATAGTCAGACTTGAGTCCTGGAAATGGGAAGTACAATGCCTGCACTTTAAAGGAGGGGTTTGGGATATTGGCAGTTTGGAGGGATATGTTGTGTATCTTTATACATATATGCTTCTAAACTGTTGTATTCTGAGCACCTCTGCAAAAGCAGTGATAATGTGTGAGTGTGATGAAAATGTTGAATAATGATGAAAGTATTTTCTTTTTGGGGATTTTCTTTCTTTTTTGGGTCACCCTGCCTTGGTGGGAGACGGCCGACTTGTTGAAAAAAAAAAAAACACTTACTGGTGTCTCATAACTTATTGATAGTACCTTCATTTCACAATTGAAGGAACTGGGCTTTATCCTGTTGGGCAACTAAATACATATGTACCTATGTATTGGTCAACTACTGTGAAATGAAGTATTGGTAGGATAACAGCTCTTTGCTCAGGAAATGGACATGCTTTTCACCTGTAAATTCATTAGTTTAGAAGAACTTGGTGTTAGACATATTTGGAACTTGTCATAGAAAAATATGACATTTTTTGCTTTTGTTCAGTTCTGGTTAGTGCTACTGTATTTAACTTCTGCTATTAATATAAGACATGCTATAAATGTATAAAAAGTTGGGAGGACTACAGATGTGAATAATGAACAAAAATGTATTTCTTTAGGTATTGTTTTATGTTGTTTGGGCATAATTTTTCAAAGTTAAAAATTTACATTGCTACTGCTAGTTTAGTTAGTAAATAAATGCAATTACACCTTTCACCAGTCTAAACTTTTCAGGTCATCTGAAAGTGCATTTTAAAAATACTTTTTCTTATTCTACTCGTGATTTTTTATCCCTTCCTGGTTGAAGTAAATATAGTCATCATACATACTGTGATTATAAGACTGTACATCATATTCAGTTTTAAAATTACTTGCATTATCACTGTGGTATGATAAAATCAATTTTGAAATTACTTGTATTGTCACCATATAATTAAATAAAAATTAAATGTATATCATCATTCAGTATGTGTACTTAGTATTGAAATTAATTCTTGTTTTTATGATCTTTTTTATTGTTTAGTATTTGAGTTCATAATATCCTGAAGCTCTCTTGTTTTCACCAGGGTGACTCAAGGATATGGAAGGAGGTCCCTGGAGAAGTGGTGAGTAGACTAAACTGTCTGCACTGTATTGATGGTTCATGTCCTTTATGAAGCAATTAGGAATGATTTAGTGTGAGATTGGTGAGCAAGTGGTATACACTAGGAAAGAAGTAACAAAGCTGGTTCCATACAAGAGTTCAAGTGACTCAAGAAATCGTAATGACACGATTGCAAACAAACCATACCCCCGGCCGGGATTGAACCCGCGGTCATAGTCTCAAAACTCCAGCCCATTTCATTAGCCACTAGACCAGCTAGCCACACTAAGATTCATCCAACTAGGTATATTTCTACACCATAGGAAGGTTAGCACAGGCACCTCTGTGACCACAAATGCAAGTTTTTACAGACGAATCTCCAGCTGGAGATTCGTCTGTAAAAACTTGCATTTGTGGTCACAGAGGTGCCTGTGCTAACCTTCCTATGGTGTAGAAATATACCTAGTTGGATGAATCTTATTGCGGCTAGCTGGTCTAGTGGCTAACGCGACGGGCTGGAGTTTTGAGACTCTATGACCGCGGGTTCAATCCCAGCCGAGGGTATGGTTTAAGAGTTCAAGTGTAAATATGGCAAAGTCCATGGTAATTGAGACACATCCTGCTGGTTGATCAGTGGTCACAAGGTAGACCCCAGGAACTGAAAATCAGTCCCTGTAAACAAAAGTAAATAATGTACATCTTCACCATATAAATGCTTGGAAAGTTCCAGGATAAGTTTTGATATTTAAGTATATGACCTCTGAGGACAACAGACTTTCCTGATACTGTTGTCTGGTCACAGTAGTGGTGAGGCTTGAGTGGTTCTTGCTGACTTAAGAACCCAGGATCTCTCCTTCCCTGTTTTCTTCCAGACTTGTTGGGTAATATCTCCTAGTTAAAATTTGCTGTAATTTATCACTTATGTCTTGGAATAGATTATTAATGTCGTTTGCAATGCAACAGACTGATGCCAATGATGTTAATTCTTAACCCTTTGAGGGTCGACAGGCCTTCTCCGAAACTCGTTCTCAGGGTCGGCCAAATTTAAAAAAAAAAAAATTATTTTCTCTTATGAAAAGATAGAGAATCTTTTCCCGATCATAACGACACCAAAAGTTTGAAATTTGATAGAAAACTTACGGAATTATGCTCTCGCAAAGTTAGCGGTCTCGGCGATGTTTACGGATCGGCGATTTTGCCCACTTTGAGCCCCATTTTCGGCCAATTTCACTGTACTAGTCGACAAAAAACATGAATATTTCGCTAGAACTCCATTTTTTCTATCGAATGGGTGCAAGAAACCACCCATTTATAATTCAACTATCCAGTACAGTGGTCAGAATTTAGCAATTTTGCCAATTTCACACAAATTTCAAAAGATGCCAATTTCGGAATAGGGTCCAGAATAAACAAGAAAGACATTCCTGGCACTAAAATGACATTTCCTCTAGTCATTAGTCACGTCTCAAGGCCCCTCTTATATTCTTTTGCTTTCCACTTTGAATTTTTATTCTCACAAAAAATATAAGATTTACTGTTATGCAGACTACTGCATTAGTGTAAAAAATGGTATAAATATTATTGGTGCACTTGTGAAAGAATATTAGACTCACCAGTTGACGTGTATTGCACGCTTGGCACGATTTGTTTACTTTTGAAGTTTGGTAAAAATCGAACATTTCTGCTACTTTGAGCTCAATTTCAAGGCACCTTTCATTGTAAAACCAGTCAAAATCATCTCAATTTCAGTAATATGTCTTCCATTCTATAAAATGAGACCAAGAAAACTAGAATACAACAATAAATACTATACGAAAATACACTGCAAAGTCGCTGATTTATTAAAAAAAAATGGAAAGTTTTTTTTTTCTCATTATGCACCGTGTGCTGCAGGATTTTTTTTAGACTGTGCACACTGACCACATAGACCCATTCTTTCATATGAAGGCCTACCAGCTTTCTCCCACTAGATTTGAGGTCGCTAGAATTTATGAGTACTAGTACGTCAAAAACCCCTACGCGTAAGACGTACTAGTACGACGAAAACCCTCAAAGGGTTAAAAGTGTGTGACTTAGGGCTCTTGACTTTTAGATGCATCTTGGACTGCGATGAAGTAGGTTTCCCACACTTATACCACTGATTTCTTACTGAAAATTGTTAAAAAATCCATTGTTCAAAACTTGGAAGCTATTTTTCCATAGATACTCATGTTATAATCTGAAACAAATTTCACAGTCATAAAATTCCGTATCTAATGTCATTGACCAATCTCCAACAAACAAATGTGATTTCTTCAAATGTCCATATACCGAAATACACAGTTTGAATACATTTAGTAAAAGAGTTATCAAAAAAAATATTAATACAGCCTCTCCTCACTTAATGATAGAGTTCTGTTCCTAAGACCACATTGGTAAATGAATTAATCTCTGAGTGAGGAGCATACTATAATGGTATTGGGTTTGTGTCAACCATCTTTGATATTGTTTTAATGTCACCTTTGCACCATTCATAACATTTTTAGTATTTTTTAAATGTTTTGCAATAGTGTACTGTATATTGTAATAAACAGAATAGAGGAACTCAGCTCTGATATACATTTAGTATGCATACTGGTCAGAGAGCCCATTGTAAGTACAAGTCGTCGATAAATGAGTACGTCGCTAAGCGAGGAGAGGCTGTAACTCGGCTTAAATAAAAAATAATTATTAATCCATTCATTCTTGAGCAACTGTAACTCTTTATACATACACAAAATGAATATACACAAAGTATGAATGCATTTAGTAAAAAATTAACACACAAGTTTTTTTTTTTTTTTTCAACAAGTCGGCTGTCTCCCACCGAGGCAGGGTGACCCAAAAAAGAAAGAAAATCCCCAAAAAGAAAATACATTCATCATCATTCAACACTTTCACCACACTCACACATTATCACTGCTTTTGCAGAGGTGCTCAGAATACAACAGTTTAGAAGCATATATGTATAAAGATACACAACATATCCCTCCAAACTGCCAATATCCCAAACCTCTCCTTTAAAGTGCAGGCATTGTACTTCCCATTTCCAGGACTCAAGTCTGACTATATGAAAATAACTGGTTTCCCTGAATCCCTTCACTAAATATTACCCTGCTCACACTCCAACAGATCGTCAGGTCCCAAGTATCATTCGTCTCCATTCACTCCTATCTAACACGCTCATGCATGCTTGCTGGAAATCCAAGCCCCTCGCCCACAAAACCTCCTTTACCCCATCTTTCCAACCCTTTTGAGGACGACCTCTACCCCTCCTTCCTTCCCCTATAGATTTATATGCTTTCCATGTCATTCTACTTTGATCCATTCTCTCTAAATGACCAAACCACCTCAACAACCCCTCTTCTGCCCTCTGACTAATGCTTTTATTAACTCCACACCTTCTCCTAATTTCCACACTCCGAATTTTCTGCATAATATTTACACTACACATTGCCCTTAGACAGGACATCTCCACTGCCTCCAACCGTCTCCTCGCTGCTGCATTTACCACCCAAGCTTCACATCCATATAAGAGTGTTGGTACTACTATACTTTCATACATTCCCTTCTTTGCCTCCATAGATAACTTTTTTTGACTCCACATATACCTCAACGCACCACTCACCTTTTTTCCCTCATCAATTCTATGATTAACCTCATCCTTCATAAATCCATCCGCCGACACGTCAACTCCCAAGTATCTGAAAACATTCACTTCCATACTCCTCCTCCCCAATTTGATATCCAATTTTTCTTTATCTAAATCATTTGATACCCTCATCACCTTACTCTTTTCTAAGTTCACTTTCAACTTTCTACCTTTACACACATTCTCAAACTCATCCACTAGCCTTAGTAATTTTTCTTTAGAATCTCCCATAAGCACAGTATCATCAGCAAAAAGTAACTGTGTCAATTCCCATTTTGAATTTGATTCCTCATAGTAATAATAATAATAATAATAATAATAATAATAATAATAATAATAATAATAATAATAATAATAATAATAATATTTTATTGGGACATGATACATAGTAGTACAAGGTATAATAGTAGTTGGGTGTACATGTCAAAAGCCCCTTGTATGCAGAGCATTATGGTCAGGCTTAAAATTAACTTAAGATTATATAAGCTATAATAGATTTAATGGTAACAGTTACAGTAAACAATTTACAATATTAAGTACAATTGAGTATTTTAAACAATGAAATTTGAACATTTCAATTTTGAAGCATTATAGTTCTACAATTTTGTATCATTACAGTGAATAATACAACAAAATGATCAGTTTACTATATGTAGTCGTACAATTTATTAATCAGATCTAATCAAATCAAATCAAATTGGTGATCTGTAGTACAGTAACAGTTTATATGGTCACTAGATGAGTTACAGTGCATTCAAGAGAATGGATTATTCTATTAAGTAATGCTATAAAAACATAGTTTGATAAGGTTTCTCTGATTATACAACTGGATTATCCTAAAGAAAAACATAATTATTAAATATATAGTTTTTGAGCAAAATTTACCAAACAGCTATGAGCTTTCTATACACACACAAAGTATGAATGTCTTTCATAAAAACTAACAGAGAAAATTATACTTATTATTCACTCTAAGTAAAATTGATCCAGTAACTGATCCTAAATTGAATCATGCAAGAATATTATCTGCTTATTGTGAAAGTGTATCATACAGTATTGTAAGTGCATCCACATATAAAATACAAAAGTATAAATGGTAAAATTTGGCAAATTCTTTATGGACAGATTATGGGCCCACCAGGACCTCCAGGACCACCAGGATCACCAGGGCTGCAAGGACCTCCGGGCATCAAGGGTGCTATGGGTCTAGATGGTGCAAAGGGTGATGCGGTCAGTACATAATCACTTGTTAATGTTTAATAGTTGTTCAGTGTTTTTTAAGCTAATTTCAAAGAACTTTCATTACTGATTGTAAATTAGTTATAATTATGCATTACATACAGATTTTTTCATAGTACAGCCCTTTAGCTCAGTTCCCAGCAGCAAGGACCCAGGTTTGATTCTCAGGCAGGGCGAGGTTTATGGGCGTCTCTACACCTGCTACCCATTTATCTAACAGTAAATAGGTACTTGGATTTTAGTTGAATTGTGAGTTGCATTCTGTACTTTTAAAGTAGGTGTGGGTTTTGAAATGAGTTGAAATAGGACAACACATCTTAACCTATAAATTAAAATGTAAAACACTGCAATTTAAAAAAATACCATTTCTATAAAAAAAGCTTGTTTTTATGCATATATTTTTGTTTTCAGAGTATTATAAGAAAGTTTGAAACATTTTAAGGGTTACAATTGAAGATTTTAATCATTCTCTTGAAGCATTTGCTGACTTGTAAATTATGAAATGAACTGGACACTAGCTAGATCAGCACTTGATATTTTCACATAAATAGTTAAAGTTCAGATAGTGTATAGTGAAACCTAGGTATAACAGACTAATAGGAAGAAGGAAGTGTCTGTTGAAACCAAAACCCATTTTGTTGAAATGCCTTGATGCAGTGGAATATGTGTCTGGCCAAATATTTTGTCAGTTAATCTGAAATCGATTTAATAAGGGTTCGTTATTACAAAGTTTTATTTTCAATCAGTGTTGTTTCAATATCTAATATGAAAATATACTGATGTGATCAGCAGATAAAAATATATTAACATTTTGAGGTCCAGACTTTTATAGAAAAAATGCCAATAAGTCGATAACTTTTTATTTTCCTTTTCATATTTTATTTCATCTCTTTAGGGTGGAAAGGGCGACAAAGGTGACCCTGGTCCTATGGGCTTACCAGGTCCGATGGGACTCAGGGGAGAGCCAGGCCGCGCTGGAGAAAGTGGCAAACCTGGTCCAGCGGTAAGGTTGCTAGAAGTCTTGAGTGGTAATAATTGAGGTGAATGTGTATTATGTTTTAGGTGATGGTGTTAGTGATGTCACCTGTGTTTCTGATGTCATTAATAGCTATCAAACTGTTAACTACTTCAGAAACTGGCAGTACAAGCTAATGATATATCATAATTTCATTCATAATATACACAGTGTATCTGTGTCCAGATGCAATAAATGTTCACAAAATATCTGTCTTTAGGAATTATTGATTTTGGACTTTTCTTTTTCACCACGTCTGACATCACTTGTGCTGGAGACGATTATTAATGTCTGTATTTAAGAAGCGAACTTACTAAGGCCAATAAATCACTGTAATTGCATTTTTTTCTTGAAACCTTTTGTTTCCCCATTCTCTGCAAGGTACATACTGTACCTGATATGCCTGTGAGTTTTTTTGTAGACTTTAAAAAGCTTGTATAGCTGAACATACATTCTAAATTAGATTTCCTATTTATTTTTGTAGTTCTAGGAGTCGTTTTGTAAACAAAATTCTGAAACATTTTATGTGGGAACATTGTAAAGCCTGATTATCCAAAGGCATTATCTACTCGTGCAGTTACCTTTATCATTGCTGTTGCATAAGTTTTTCTCTTATAGCAACTTTTCATGTAGTTATAGCATGTAAAGCAAAGTCCTGGTTTAAAAAAGATAGTACATACTGTTTTAAAATCATAGGTCAAGAATTTTCTTGTATATTAAGTTAGTTTGTTTATAAGCTATATGTTTACTGCCAGTGTTTTAAAGATTTTCTCGGTTTGATGACATTAAATGACAGTGCAGGTCTTTCCTTGTTCATGTTGAAATTATAGTGATAGCTGGAGTTTTCTTGCAGGCAGATGGTGCAATTTTTTCCATTTTGTCATTTAGCCAAGTTGCAGAAATTGGGTATGTATCTTACCTTTTTGCTAAACATTCATTGTGTATTATCAGCATATTCGATTGAATGTCTATTGATTAACATGTCTAATATTCTTGAAAAGGTAATGTTGGAGTAAATCTTTTGTTTCTTAGATTTTAGCACCCAAAGCAATATACAGAAATAGTTTCAGTAGATGTGCTTGAGTTTAGAGGAAGATTCTGCATGCTCTAACCTACTCTGAGCACATATGAAACTTGCTTTTTTACATTGAATGTTATTTCAGCTATGTTGACAGTTAATTTTTGAAGCATCCATTGATCATTTTTTATTATTTTAGAAAGCAAAGCATTTAGCTTCACTATGATGTGTATATTGTTTATGTAGTTTTAAGAATTTAGTCTTGGAAATTTGCTGTCACTCATTACCCAATTTCTGCATTTGATTTAATCTCTCATTCTTGCACATTTTTAAATTAGAGGAACTTGGCAGAAAAAATCTGGTTTGTAACTCCTCCAGTTTGTTAGTGCAGTGTTTTTATATTATTAGCAACAGTACTTTTACCCCTTCCAAACTTTCTGAATACAGTCGACTCTTGTTCACTCCCTTAATGTCTTCAAGTTTGCTACTTGGATTTCTTTATCATATATACAAACTCTGAATAACTTTGTAGGTTAGCTTATTCACTTTTCATTAATTTTTGTTGGTCATTATTAGTTTCACACATGAATACTTTCTAAATTATTTGGTTTGATACATTGCATGCAGAAAAAGCATGAAGGGATTCAGTCAAATGTTGGTGATGCTCTGATATTTGGTATGATATTGATTGAAAATACTGTCATTAAAGTTATCAGTTACACTGTGCCTGGGATATTTATCCAGTATACTTTAAACTCACATATAGCATGAAGAAATATCTTCTCACATTCCTGGTGCATTTTCTTTTTTACTTGACTGCATGTCTTCTGGTTCTATCTGTAGTGTGTGTGTACATAGACCATACACACCAATATACATACATACCAGTATACGTACATATATCTTCTTTCAACAAACTGCCCGTATCCCACCAAACCAGGGTGGCCCCAAAAACAAAAAAATTCTCTTTTTAACTTTAGTAATATATACAAGAGAAGGGGTTACTAACCTTTTGCTCCTAGCATTTTAGTTGCCTTTTACAACATGCATGGCTTGCAGAAGAAGAATTCTGTTCCACTTCCCCATAGAGATAAGAGGTAATAAACAAGGACAAGAACTAGTAAGAAAAATAGAAGAAAATCCAGAGAGGTGCTTGTACATGCATGTGTAGTGTGACCTAAGTGTAAGTAGAAGTAGTAAAATGTACCTGAAATCTTGCATGTTTATGAGACAGAAAAAAGACACCAGGAATCCTACCATCATGCAAAACAGTTACAGGCTTCCATTTCACACTTGCTTGGCAGGATGGTAGTACCTCCCTGGGTGGGTACTGTCTTTCGATCCTGCTACCTTGGAGTATACCTATATACCTACTAATATACAAAAATAAATACATATTACTTCATTCTCTGTAGTCCACTAATCGAGTTACCATTCATTTCGGTGTTTTTTCCTTCAAACGTCTATATGTACTTTACACTATTACATTAACACTTTAAATTACGTGGTTAACACGCATTGTAATTTATTTTAACATTTTGTAAATTTTGGCATTTAGGTTCCACTAATTGTTTCTTATAGTTAGAAGTTTAGATTGCATGTTCCTCTAAATAAGAATTACAAAAATTCTGAAAAAATTCTCTGTTACTAGAATTTATTTTTTGCGTAATTGGTGGGGAAACGCTAATACATACTGTAGGGGGTCATAATAGTGTCTTTGGAATGGGAAGTAATAATATTTTATTCAAGGAAAGGGAGGATAAGCCCAGTTCCTTGGATCAAGAGCCCCAACTGGCACTGAGGGAATGTTTAAGATAAGTGCTGCTACATTTATTTTTTATGTATTTTGTAATAGTACAGTATGTGAGCTCTTAAATACAGAATGAAATTTTAAGACAAATTTAAATGTTAGTATATTGAATCTTATCCTTGATGTAAATGTTTTTATGCTGTCTTACTTTTTCTGTTTAGATTCTAGTTATAAATTGCACTTGGATATTTATCTCTGATAAATATTTACTTTGTTTTATACTTAATTCTAACTATAGATTCACTACAAATCTTATGATTACAAGCATTGATCCTGATACCAACCTCTTATTTAATGACTTAAATGAATCAAACAGTTACTGTAATTACTACACTGCAGAACAATCAAAGGCACTTCTCAGTGCCAACAACAACATAACTATCTTTAACTACAATATCAGATCTTTAAGCAAGCATTACGATGACCTCATAGCATTACTAAATTCCTTACATGCCAATATGTCCATCATTACACTAACTGAAACCTGGCTAAAGCCTGATAGTACAGATGTCTATGCCATTCTGGTTACACAGCCATACACAACTTGGGCCCAGCCCAACAAGGGGGTGGCACAGCCATATACTACTCAGACCAACTAGAATGTATCACTAATACTTGCACAAGGGATGAACATGGGGAATATATAATAGCCAATTCAATCCAAATACCTACAAAAAAACCCCTCAAAATTGATAAACATTTACAGAGTTCCACAGTCAAACATTAGCCAATTTAGTCAAACCTAGGAAGTATGATAACTGATGCATGCATGAACAAAGATCACTTACTACTCTCAGGTGACTTCAATATAAAACTCCTGCAAGACAGGACCCACACGTTACTGAATTCACAAACACAATGAGTAACTGTATGTTGCTACCAACAGAAACAAAACCTACAAGAGTTACAGAGACTAGTGTTTCCCTACTTGACCACATCTGGACCCAAAACCATATCCCTTTAAATCAGGCATAATTACAGATAATACCACAGACCAATACCTACTTTTCTCATAACAACTCTTGGTAAATTACCCAAGACACTACTAAAGTCACCTTCAGACTTCACAATGAGGCAGCCATTAATAACTTCACAACAGCATAGCAAACATTGACTGGCACACTGAGCTAGAAATCTATACAGATATTGACGAATGTATTAATAATTTTCTAAAAAAAACCCAATACCTCTATAACAAGCACTGCCCTAAAAAAACTAAACAGATGACAGCTAAGAGACTGAACAGTTCCTGGTTAACACCCAGCATTCTCAAATCCATAAATACAAAACACCAATATGAAAAACAGTACAGAATGGGTCACATAACCAGAGACCAAACAAAACGTTACTCGTCAATCCTAACCAGCCTGATAAGAAGGCAAAAAATTGTATTATGAGAACAGATTATCCAACTTACGAGGTGATATAAAAAAGACCTGGAAAACCCTATCAGAAATTCTAGGAACAAAAAAGATATCACGAAATAGCGAAATAAAATTAGCAAAATCAGATGAACCCCAACTCCCACCAACAGAAACAGCAAACAGACTCAATGACTTTTTCTCCACTATAGGACAAAACCTTGCCAATAAAATCCCAAGCTCAGATACCCCACCAAATGACTACCTCACTGGCAACTACCCGAACACACTGTTCCTAGCTCCGACTAACCCATACGAAGTCTCCCTTATTATCAACACGCTAAAAAACAAGGCAGGAGATTTAAATACCTTACCACCCTTTATATACAAAAAAGTGTCACAAGTGCTATCACCAATCATTGCAACACTCTTTAACAAATCCATTGAATCCTCCACCTTCCCTACAGTACTCAAAAGCAAGGGTCACCCCGATCCACAAAGGAGGAGACCAAACAGAGTTGAATAACTATAAGGCCAATATCCAACTTACACCCTCTCTCAAAAATCTTCGAAAAATTAATTCATAAACGAATCTACTCCTACCTTATCTCCCAAAACATACTCAACCCCTGCCAATTTGGATTCAGGCCAAATAAAAATACTAATGATGCTATTATACACATGCTAGAACATATATACACTGCAATAGAGAAAAAAGAAGTCCCACTGGGGATCTTCATTAAACTTACGTAAAGCTTTTGATACAGTTAACCATGACTTGCTCCACGTAAAATTGTCACACTATGGTATAAGAGGGCACTCCCTCAACTACCTCAAGTCTTTACCTCAGCAACAGAAGCCAATATGTGTATGCAAATGGGGCAAACTCTTCTGCACAACCAATTACAGTTGGTGTCCCACAGGGAAGTGTCCTTGGCCCTTTTCTCTTTCTCCTATACATAAATGACCTACCAAATGCTTCGCAATTACTCAAACCCACACTATTTGCAGATGACAAATACATAACGTCTTCTCCCACCCGAGCCCAGTCACGCTAGCCAATACTGTAAATACCGAATTACAGAAAATATCTACCTGGATGAGGACTAAAAAAACTTACACTAAACATTGACAAAACCTACTTCATTCAGTTTGGTACAGAGCTACAGATGTCCCTCTTAACATAATGATAAACGGATCACCTATCACAAAGCTAACAGAGGGAAAATTTTTAGGAATCCACCTTGATAATAGACTCAAATTTCATACACATATACAACAAATTTCTAAGTAAAATTTCCAAGACTGTAGGCATACTATCGAAGATACGGTACTATGCTCCACAGTCAGCCCCTCCTGGCCCTATATCACTCTCTTATTTACCCCTATCTCATCTACGGAATTTGTGCATGGGCTCAACAACAAGTAACCATCTCAGACCACTAATTACCCAACAAAAGGCTGCAGTTAGAATGATAACAAATTCTCACTATAGGCAGCACACTCCACCAATATTCAATACACTAAACCTACTCACCATACAAAACTTCATACTTATTACTGCACCTATTACATACATAGAACACTTAACTCTGATATTAACCCTCCCCTCAAATCATCTCCTTGCCAACCTCAACAGAACACATGACCATAACACAAGGCACAGATCACTCTTTGATGTTCCTTGTGTCCATCTCACACTATGCAAAAACTCAATGCACTAAAAGGCCCTAAAATCTGGAACTCATTACCTGTAAATATAAAAGAAACACTACCTGTTTATAAATTCAAGTCTCTTCTCAAAGATCACTTACTCACCCCAAAACCAATATAAATACTGAATAACTGAACCTTATAAATTGTATACCTTAAATGTTTCTCACAATTATATCACATAAATGTTAAACCTAAAACCAATCTAACTTTATTATTTTTTAAATACACTACCTAACAGAATACTCCATTCTACTGAATGTACAACAATGCATACAACCATATGACCTGTCTTTGTAATACTCACTTGTGCTTTATAGTAATCTGTTTACATTAAAGTTTTATCACTGATGTCATCATTGCTTAGTTCATCTTAAGTTAATTTTAAGCCAGCCCGTAATGCTATGCATAGTATAAGTGGCTTTGGCATGCTGCTCTTATCTGTATTTTTTGTACCTCTGTATGTGTGCTCAAATTTTTAAATAAATAAATAAATAAATAAATAAATAAAATATGCTTAAAACTTCTACATAGTATTAATGTAAGATGGAATTTTCTTAGGGTTTTCCACAATTTATTCATCTATAAACGAGATTTCATAAATGTCTTATATTATTCACTTACAGTAGAAAAGGTCATTGACTCGAGATATTCCAACTTAGGATATTTCTCTTACTACAATGTCACTTTCGAACCGCAGTAATTAATAACTTAAGAACTTGTTCATTCCTTCGATGTGTAGAACTACTTATGATTTACTTAAGGATGCATTAAAAATATTTTTTTGGGGTTGGTTTTCCAAATGTATTCATGCCTTGTAGTATATGTTAATTTTATGCATGTATGTAGAGCTGACATTTGTTGGGTAGAGATTGCTCATGATTTAATAATTACAGTATTCTGAAGGCTTTGGTAGTCACCACTAGCTGCTGCCTGCATACTGGACATGTCAGTGTGAGGTACAGGACATTCGGAGCTTGCTAGATTAACCCTTGCACAATTATATTCAGCACTACCTTCCCATACTACATAATCACCCCCCCCCCCCAATCATGTTACCACCCTTTCCCCTTTCTCCCACCTCTATCCCTATTCTCCCATGCCTTCCTTATTACCTCACCCCTTCCCCTATTTCTCCACTCCTTCCCCTATACCACCTCCCCCCTTACTCTATCCCTTCCTTTATACTACCATCCCCCCTTACTCTCACCTCCACCCCTTTCCTTATTACAACCCCCAAACTCCCACCCTCTTTTCCATTTTCCTTTTAGTTGTAATATGTATTAATTACAGTTCCATATTGATCAATTGTTGAAATAGAAATGTTGGGGATTATTGGCACTGGCAAGACTACTCATACTATTCTGTGAAAGAAATTTATTTAATTTTCATATAATTATTTTACCTAGGTAGTAGGTTGGTAGACAGCAACCGCCCAGGGAGGTACTACTGTCCTGCCAAGTGAGTGTAAAATGAAAGCCTGTAATTGTTTTACATGATGGTGGGATTGCTGGTGTCTTTTTTCTGTCTCATGAACAGGCAAGATTTCAGGTACATCTTGCTACTTCTACTTACACTTAAGTCATCCTACACATGCATGTACAAGCACATATATACACACCCCTCTGGGTTTTCTTCTATTTTCTTACTAGTTCTTGTTCTTGTTTATTTCCTCTTATCTCCATTGGGAAGTGAAACAGAATTCTTCCTCTATAAGCCAGGCACGTTGTAAGAGGCAACTATAATACTGGGAGCAAGGGGCTAGTAACCCCTTCTCCTGTATGTATTACTAAATTTAAAAAGAAAATCTTTTGTTATTTTTTGGGGCCGCCCTGCCTTGGTAGGATGCAGCTGGTGCGTTGAAAAAACATAATTATATTAATTTTTCAGAATCAGAGTATTAATTAAATTTCCCCACATAATTTTTCACTCTAGTATATTCTTGCTGTAATACTAGTGCATTATGTATTAAATATCACTGAAGAAATTTTAATACTTGTATAATTTTTCAGATGCTAAGATTCAAGACTGACACTGGAAATTGTCAAAAAATCAAATTGAAGCACTGATGTTCAACTGACTTAGATCAAAAATTTTGCTGAATGTTAACAACTGACCATTTAGATTTTTCACGACTAACCCAGTAATTGGAGATATTTTGAGTTTCTGCCTGTCTTGGACCATTAACAAGTCACAAGTGAGACTTTATAATGGTTCATGAAGTGCTGAAATATCAAAAGCTTTCATCTCATATTTGTGGGTTAATGGTGATTTGTGCCGGCTGTGGTATTTTTGTTATTCTTCATTTTGCTTTTGTTGCGTATTAATTTGCTAATTAGAAAATGTGATCATATCAAGAACTGTGCTTTTATCTTCTCAGGTTTACTTAAATGTTCTTAATATTTGCTTAAGTGTTCCTAAAGTTTATTTAAGTGTTTTTAATATTTACTCCACAGGGAGTTCCAGGTCTTGATGGCATGAAGGTGAGTCTCCAAAACATTTTGTTTTCATATTTTAGCATTGTTTTTAATATTTCTTTTAGGAGAGTCTTTAACCCTTTCAGGGTCGACAGGCCCTCTCAGAGACTTGTTCTCAGGGTGGCCCAAATTTAAAAAAAAAATTATTTTTTCTTGTGAAAAGATAGAGAATCTTTTCCCGATCATAATGACACCAAAAGTGTGAAATTTGATGGAAAACTTACGGAATTATGCTCTCGCATTGGCAATTTTGCCCACTTTGAGCCCTATTTTCGGCCAATTCCATTGTACTAGTCGACAAAAATCATGAATATTTCGCTAGAACTCCATTTTTTCTATCGAATGAGTGCAAGAAACCACCCATTTACTGATTTCAACTATCCAATACAGTGGTCAGAATTTAGCAATTTTGCCAATTTCACACAAATTTCAAAACATGCCAATATCCAAATAGGGTTGAGAATAAACAAAGACATTCCTGGCACTAAAATGACATTTCCTTTGTTCATTAGTCACGTCCCAACGCCCCTCTTACATTCTTTTGCTTTCCACTTTGAATTTTTATTCTCACAAAAAATAGATTTACTGTTATGCAGACTACTGCATTAGTGTAGAAAATGGTATAAATACTATCGGCACACTTGTGAAAGAATATTAGACTCACCAGTTGACGTGTATTGGACGCTTAGCATGATTTGTTTACTTTTGAACTTTGGTAAAAATCGAACATTTCTGCTACTTTGAGCTCAATTTCAAGGTACTTTTCATTGTAAAATCAGTCAAAATCATCTCAATTTCAGTAGTATGTCTTCCATTCTGTAGAATGAGACCAGGAAAACTAGAATACAACAATAAATACCATACGAAAATACAGTGCAAAGTCGCTGTTTTAATCCAAAAACATGGTCAGTTTTTTTTTCTCATTACGCACTGTGTGCTGCAGGATTTTTTTTATACTGCGCACACTGACCACAGACCCATTCTTTCATATGTAGGCCTACCAGCTTTCTCACTAGATTTGAGGGCGCTAGAGTTATGCGTACTAGTACGTCAAAAACCCTGGTGCGTAAGCCGTACTAGTATGGCCAAAACCCTGAAAGGGTTAATATGTGTTGATAATTTAACAGTTTCTAACTGATGTGGGATCTTTTAACTTGGTGTGAGTGTTTATTTTTGTTGTGTGTTTATGATAATTCTTATTTGTTTTAATTTTTCCTTGGGTACTTTTGTGTATATTTTGTACTTATTTTTTATTGCCTAACACACTCCTTGATGTCTCACATCAAAACATGCTTGTGCTCTTAATTTCCTTCTCTCAACAACCCTTCAAGAGATGTTCCTTGATACTGGTGAAGGGCTATTGATCCAAGGAATTTTAGTTACCCTTCCTTCAATCAAACCTGATTACTTCTCATTTCAGAGGTGCTGTATTTTGCTGCATACTGCATCATTACTTGAGAGTGGATATTTTCTGTAAAGTGATATACTGTACAAAACTTACATCAGTGTATTCTCATTCTGTGTACAATACTTTATTTGCTTTATTTACTTTCTTTCCTATTTATACTATTTGTGGTTGCAGGGGTTGAGTCACAGCTCCTGGCCCCACCTCTTTGCTGGTCACTCGTATATAAAAATTATATTCAGAGCATTCAGTTAGCCATAATGTATAATTTCTTTTTAATTGAATGATGGAATTAGCCACCTACAAAAATTATAATTAGCATTAATAAGTATAAGAGAGGTTAACTCTTACAAGTTCGTTAAACAGGTATTTAACTATTGCAGAGATAAAACGTAAACAGCATCAGAGTTCAATGATCTCTGGATTAGGTCAGTTTTATCTTAGTTGTTTCCTTCTGCTCTTGCTTATTATCATAATCAAAAGAAGCACTAAACCTACAAGGGTCATACAGTGCCTCCTACTCTCAAAAACTTTATAGAAAACCCAAATCAAAGAATTTTTCTTAAAATGATTTACATCATATTGAATGAACATTTAATGATTGTGTATTATGTTTGCAGTTTCAGGAGTAGATATGCTCACATTGTCCTGATTTCATTTCTCGTCTTTTAATAATTTTTAAACTTCAGTAGTTGTTACACCCAACCATCTCCTGAAACTTGTTCCATATCTCATTTGCAGTGAACCAGAGAACTTGTATTATCTTTGGGCTATTTATTTTATGATTGGCATTAATTATTATTAAATGACCGAAGCAAAAGTTATCTAGCACAATTGTGACAGGGGTTTGTTTTAGTCAGGCTTAGCTTGTGAATCCATTATCTAATATTGCACATTATTATATTTTGCTTAAAATTATTACATATCGATACTGTATTTGGACAGTAAATTGCTTTTATCAGTCTTCATTAGTTTGTTCTTTTTTTGTAATGGTGTTCTGTAGGCTTCTTCAGTCCTATTAGCTACCAGTACATTGTAAATAAAATTACTAATAGCTTTTTTGTCATTTCTGTTCTGATGTAATATTTTCTGTGTAGAGATCTTGACTGATGCTTAATGTACATACAGCAGAACTTAGGTCCTGGAGGTGGGAAGGCCAGTGCCTGCACTCAGGAGGGTTGAGGACATTACAGCTGGAGGATTATCCATTTGTGATGTCAGCACACTCCTAGATAGATGGCAGTTGAATGAATGATGGTGAATGTGTTTCTTCTTTGGGTCACCCTGCCTTGATGGGAGATGACCATTGACTTAAAAAAAAAAAATGTTCAAATTATGCACTCTCTCTCTTTTCCTCAAATCTTTTATCTTCTCATTAATTCTCCTCTATTTGTGATAATTGTGAGTCTTTTTTTTTTCTTAACTATATTTCTTATAAAAATTTTAACTCTATTTACCCTCTATCACTCATGTTCATTAATTTCTTTATGCACTGTACCTTTTCAGTTTTTTTTTTTATCCTGCTTGAGCTGCTGCTACTTAACAAGTTTCTGTAAATCCTCTACTTACTGCATCTGACATTTTCCAATCTTCTTTCTTTCTTTTTTCAACAAACCGGCCATATTCCACCGAGGCAGGGTGGAATCTAACTATATATATTACACTTTCTTTTTGTATTTTATTTTCTTCTGCAGCTTTCATAAGCATGACCTGCTGATGCTTACCAGCACTTTAACTTCAGTGTGTTATCTTAGTTACCACTGTTCTTCATTGTATTGTCTTAAGTTATCTCCTAAACTTACTAAGACAACATTATAATTAGCTCAACCTCATTACCATTTAAATATGCTGAAAATCCTTGATTTTTTTTTTTTTTTTTTTTTTGAGGTCTTTGAATTTTTTTTTTTTTCTAATGAGAAAACGTGTGTAAGTACTTGGCTACTTTTAGCCCCCACTTCTCAGCTACTCTGTCATTTACTATTCCTGACAAGGATACAAAGGAGTACTGTCAACAGTAATGAAGAAAAGACACACGTACAGAATGTACTTTTATTGTGATAGAATTTCCCTCTACACAGAGCAAAACACGTATTGTCACAAAGCTTGTTCTACTCCTTTCCTCATTCCTACCCTCATTGGCCTTATTATACCAATCTTTAAAACCGAATGAAATCTGTTTCCATTTAGCTTTTTACACTTTTCTAACAACCCTCAGACTGAAGAAGTACTTTCTAACATGCTTGTGACTCATTTAAATTAACATTTCCCTGATCCCCTCTTTTCTCTCTGCCTTGAGGCCTCTGATTATCTTCCATATAATCATATCCTCCATGCTTCACTCTTAATGTTCTAAGGTTTAGTTTCTTTAACATTTCTTTAACCCTTTGACTGTCGTAACCCCCAATCCTGAGGTGTCTCCTGGTGTCGCAAAATTTAAAAAAAAAAAAAAAAATTATTTTTTCTTATGAAATGATAGAGAATCTTTTCCCGATTGTAATGACACCAAAAAAACGAAATTTGATGGAAAACTGACGGAATTATGCTCTCGCGAAGTTAGCGACCTCGGCGCTGTTTACAAATCGGCGATTTCGCCCACTTTGAGCCCTATTTTCGGCTAATTCCATTGTTCCAGTCGCCCAAACTCATAGCTATTTCTTTAGAACTTCATTTTTTCTATCGATTGAGTACAAGAAACTGCCCATTTACTGATTTTAACTACCTAATAATGTGGTCAGAAATTTGCAATTTGGCCAATTTCACGAAAACTAAAAAATATGAAAATTTCAAAATAAGGTCCAGAATGAACAATGCAGACATTCCAGGCTCTAAAATAACGTTTTCTTTGTTCATCAGTCACGTCTCCAGGCCCCTCTGATATTACTCTTGCTTTCTATTTTGAATTTTTATTCAAACAAAAAATATTAGACTTACTATTATGCAGACTACTGCAATGCTGTAATAACTGTATAAATAACATCAACCCATTCATGACTGCATATTAGAATGGCTAGTTGGACATTTATTGGACAATGGCATCATTTGTTTACTTTTGAACATTGGCAAAAATCAAACATTTCCCTTACTTTGAACTCCATTTCTAGGTTCTTTTTATAGTAAAATCAATCAAAAACACCTCTATTTCTGTAATATGTTTTCCATTCTATCAAATGAGACCAAGAAAACGAGAATACAACTATAAATACCATACGAAAATAGACCACAAAGTCGGCATTTTAATTAAAAAAAAACGGTCGGAGTTTTTTTTTCTCATTATGTACTGCGTGCTCCAGGATTTTTTTTATATGGTGCACACTGACCACACAGACCCATTCTCTCACATGTGGGCCTACCAGCTTTCTCCTGCTTGATTTGAAGCCGCTAGAATTTATGAGTAGTATATATACGTCAAACACGGCACCTCGTAAAACGTATATATACGGCCGCGACAGTCAAAGGGTTAACAGTTCATTCCTGTCAGCTCCAAGGCTAGTCTTGTGACATCTCTTCTTGATCATTCCAGAAATTCTTCCCAGTTTGCGTGTTTCTTTCTCTGCCATATATTATCCAATCAACACTTTTTTGTTCTGTCTTCCAGTAAGGGAGCATTTTTAATACTTTCTGCTTCTCTTTGTAATTTTTATATCTTTAAATTTGTTGCATATCTGGGCTACTTTTGTTGTGTATTTCTTTATATGAAAATTGCTAATCCAGTCACATACTTTGCATGTGTGTGTATGTGTAAAGTTTGAAATATAGGGATAATTTAATTTTTGTCATTTTGTTCATCAGGGTGCTCGAGGTGAAATTGGCAGAAAGGGTGAGCGCGGTGACCCCGGCTTACCTGTAAGTTGCAATTACTTTGTTTACAATGTGGAAGTATTGATTATAATCTTTATGAAGTTTGTCCCTTCTTCTTGAAGTGTTTAAAATGCCAGCTCTTAACATCACATTATTTCTCAGAAGCTACTAGTAATATTCACCTATATTTTCTCACCTATATACGGTTCAAGGACTTAGTCTTGGAGCCAGGTCATGCCTCTTGACTTACTGTTTGCCAGAGTGCCTTCCTAGCCTCCTGGGCAATATCATACCTGCTCTTAAAATTATGTATGGAGCCTACCTCCACCACTTCATTGAGATCATTGCACTTCCTGACCACCCTGAGACTAATGAAATGCTTCCTGACATCCCTGTGGTATCTTTAACTTCCAGCTGTACCCAAAGTATGTTTTCCATCTCTGACAGCCTCTCCCTGTCTCTCCTATCATTTCTCTTGAGTATTTTGTATGTTATCATGTCTTTCCTGCTTTTTCTGTTCTCTGTTATTGTTAGATTCAGTTCTGTTAGCCTTCTCTTGTAGTTCATACCCTTTAGCTCGGGAACTACTCTTCTTGTATACCTCTGCACTTTGAATGGAGACAAATGGTACAAAACTGACAAGTGCTGGAAAAGCAATTTCTAAGGAATGCCTGCGTGATATGTAGGGACTAGACTGCACATGTGATGTCTTGGAAGGATGCCCAGCTGGTCATAAAAGAAATGGACAAAACATGATGCAGATGCTTGGAAACTGCATTTATCTAACCACAAAATACAGTCCAACAGAATCAAGGAGCTTTCAGTTTAATTATATCTGTAGCCTAACTCATCATACATAAACAAGTCATTAGAAGGGCCAGTAGGCCTTCTGCAGTGCTCCCATCTTGAAATTCATCCCATACCCACTGAATTGGCCACTCACTTGTTATACATCTCTATGTATTGACTGAAGAAGCCTGTCCACAGATGAAATGTCTCAACAAAGTTTCTCTTGCCATTTCTGCAGTTTCTTAACATGTTTTTTTCAGGTGAGTGTTCCATGTCAGTGGAAATTACATATTTTTTTTTTTTTTTTTTTTTTTATTATCACACCGGCCGATTCCCACCAAGGCAGGGTGGCCCGAAAAAGAAAAACTTTCACCATCATTCACTCCATCACTGTCTTGCCAGAAGGGTGCTTTACACTACAGTTTTTAAACTGCAACATTAACACCCCTCCTTCAGAGTGCAGGCACTGTACTTCCCATCTCCAGAACTCAAGTCCGGCCTGCCGGTTTCCCTGAATCCCTTCATAAATGTTACTTTGCTCACACTCCAACAGCACGTCAAGTATTAAAAACCATTTGTCTCCATTCACTCCTATCAAACACGCTCACGCATGCCTGCTGGAAGTCCAAGCCCCTCGCACACAAAACCTCCTTTACCCCCTCCCTCCAACCCTTCCTAGGCCGACCCTACCCCGCCTTCCTTCCACTACAGACTGATACACTCTTGAAGTCATTCTGTTTCGCTCCATTCTCTCTACATGTCCGAACCACCTCAACAACCCTTCCTCAGCCCTCTGGACAACAGTTTTGGTAATCCCGCACCTCCTCCTAACTTCCAAACTACGAATTCTCTGCATTATATTCACACCACACATTGCCCTCAGACATGACATCTCCACTGCCTCCAGCCTTCTCCTCGCTGCAACATTCATCACCCACGCTTCACACCCATATAAGAGCGTTGGTAAAACTATACTCTCATACATTCCCCTCTTTGCCTCCAAGGACAAAGTTCTTTGTCTCCACAGACTCCTAAGTGCACCACTCACTCTTTTTCCCTCATCAATTCTATGATTCACCTCATCTTTCATAGACCCATCCGCTGACACGTCCACTCCCAAATATCTGAATACGTTCACCTCCTCCATACTCTCTCCCTCCAATCTGATATTCAATCTTTCATCACCTAATCTTTTTGTTATCCTCATAACCTTACTCTTTCCTGTATTCACCTTTAATTTTCTTCTTTTGCACACCCTACCAAATTCATCCACCAATCTCTGCAACTTCTCTTCAGAATCTCCCAAGAGCACAGTGTCATCAGCAAAGAGCAGCTGTGACAACTCCCACTTTGTGTGTGATTCTTTATCTTTTAACTCCACGCCTCTTGCCAAGACCCTCGCATTTACTTCTCTTACAACCCCATCTATAAATATATTAAACAACCACGGTGACATCACACATCCTTGTCTAAGGCCTACTTTTACTGGGAAAAAATTTCCCTCTTTCCTACATACTCTAACTTGAGCCTCACTATCCTCGTAAAAACTCTTCACTGCTTTCAGTAACCTACCTCCTACACCATACACTTGCAACATCTGCCACATTGCCCCCCTATCCACCCTGTCATACGCCTTTTCCAAATCCATAAATGCCACAAAGACCTCTTTAGCCTTATCTAAATACTGTTCACTTATATGTTTCACTGTAAACACCTGGTCCACACACCCCCTACCTTTCCTAAAGCCTCCTTGTTCATCTGCTATCCTATTCTCCGTCTTACTCTTAATTCTTTCAATTATAACTCTACCATACACTTTACCAGGTACACTCAACAGACTTATCCCCCTATAATTTTTGCACTCTCTTTTATCCCCTTTGCCTTTATACAAAGGAACTATGCATGCTCTCTGCCAATCCCTAGGTACCTTACCCTCTTCCATACATTTATTAAATAATTGCACCAACCACTCCAAAACTATATCCCCACCTGCTTTTAACATTTCTATCTTTATCCCATCAATCCCGGCTGCCTTACCCCCTTTCATTTTACCTACTGCCTCACGAACTTCCCCCACACTCACAACTGGCTCTTCCTCACTCCTACAAGATGTTATTCCTCCTTGCCCTATACACGAAATCACAGCTTCCCTATCTTCATCAACATTTAACAATTCCTCAAAATATTCCTTCCATCTTCCCAATACCTCTAACTCTCCATTTAATAACTCTCCTCTCCTATTTTTAACTGACAAATCAATTTGTTCTCTAGGCTTTCTTAACTTGTTAATCTCACTCCAAAATTTTTTTCTTATTTTCAACAAAATTTGTTGATAACATCTCACCCACTCTCTCATTTGCTCTCTTTTTACATTGCTTCACCACTCTCTTAACCTCTCTCTTTTTCTCCATATACTCTTCCCTCCTTGCATCACTTCTACTTTGTAAAAACTTCTCATATGCTAACTTTTTCTCCCTTACTACTCTCTTTACATCATCATTCCACCAATCGCTCCTCTTCCCTCCTGCACCCACTTTCCTGTAACCACAAACTTCTGCTGAACACTCTAACACTACATTTTTAAACCTACCCCATACCTCTTCGACCCCATTGCCTATGCTCTCATTAGCCCATCTATCCTCCAATAGCTGTTTATATCTTACCCTAACTGCCTCCTCTTTTATTTTATAAACCTTCACCTCTCTCTTCCCTGATGCTTCTATTCTCCTTGTATCCCATCTACCTTTTACTCTCAGTGTAGCTACAACTAGAAAGTGATCTGATATATCTGTGGCCCCTCTATAAACATGTACATCCTGAAGTCTACTCAACAGTCTTTTATCTACAATACATAATCCAACAAACTACTGTCATTTCGCCCTACATCATATCGTGTATACTTATTTATCCTCTTTTTTCTTAAAATATGTATTACCTATAACTAAACCCCTTTCTATACAAAGTTCAATCAAAGGGCTCCCATTATCATTTACACCTGGCACCCCAAACTTACCTACCACACCCTCTCTAAAAGTTTCTCCTACTTTAGCATTCAAGTCCCCTACCACAATTACTCTCTCACTTGGTTCAAGGGCTCCTATACATTCACTTAACATCTCCCAAAATCTCTCTCTCTCCTCTGCATTCCTCTCTTCTCCAGGTGCATACACGCTTATTATGACCCACTTCTCGCATCCAACCTTTACTTTAATCCACATAATTCTTGAATTTACACATTCATATTCTCTTTTCTCCTTCCATAACTGATCATTTAACATTACTGCTACCCCTTCCTTTGCTCTAACTCTCTCAGATACTCCAGATTTAATCCCATTTATTTCCCCCCACTGAACTCTCCTACCCCCTTCAGCTTTGTTTCGCTTAGGGCCAGGACATCCAACTTCTTTTCATTCATAACATCAGCAATCATCTGTTTCTTGTCATCCGCACTACATCCACGCACATTTAAGCAACCCAGTTTTATAAAGTTTTTCTTCTTCTCTTTTTTAGTAATTGTATACAGGAGAAGGGGTTACTAGCCCATTGCTCCCGGCATTTTAGTCGCCTCATACGACACGCATGGCTTACGGAGGAAAGATTCTTTTCCACTTCCCCATGGACAATAGAAGAAATAAAAAAGAGCAAGAGCTATTTAGAAAAAGGAGAAAAACCTAGATGTATGTATATATATATATGCATGTGCGTGTCTGTGAAGTGTGACCAAAGTGTAAGTAGGAGTAGCAAGATATCCCTGTTATCTTAGCGTGTTTATGAGACAGAAAAAGAAACCAGATGGAAATTACATATATTGTATAAAGGACTTGAAATGACCTTGTTGTGATTCCCAAAGGCTACTCTTATATTTGCCAGACGAGCATTGGCTACAAAGGTTATTTGGTTGATGCGAGCTTCTGGCAATATGGTAGGCACTGTTCTCGCCCCTAGGTTTTTTACTTTGAATGAAATCTGCAGCTTTTATCCCCAGAGTCTATACTCAGTGTCAAATCACCTGGCCCTGTTTCCTATTTTCATAATCTTGCATTTACTGGAGTCGAATTCAAGCCAATATTTATTTGACTAATCCTGCAGTTTGTCCAGCTCCATTTATAGCATTTCCCCATCCTTGTCTGTTTTTATTCTCATTAGTTTTACATCAGCAAACAGGGAGGCATCTGACTCAGTCCCATCTGGTAATTCAGTAAGATCTACTAAATCAGGTTTGAGCATGCATACACTGTCTTTCCCTCATCCACCCA